ATGATGTTAGATCATGCAATTCTCAGTTGTTGATAATCTTTTGCTTTGCTTTAATGACGATTAGCTAGGAATGAGTTCTCGATTCTTAGCACTTGAAAATAATATACATTCGATAATAAAGAAAATAATATACATTCGATGAATCTAATTAGTAAGGGTTTTTCGCATCTAGTTAAAAACCATAGAATTAATAGAATTAAATTTTTTATTAATCTCCCATGAATTGATTCATTAGAATTGCACATGGCATCGCCGTAAGTCTCCCAGTCAGAAATGAATATAGTAGTCGTCATAATTGTTTCTAACAGCTGGGCTAGCTGCACTGGCTATAAGAAGCTTTTCCAAGCCTCTCAATTGGGCTTCATATCTGAAGATGACAAAAAGTCATTCCTTATGGCACTGTCTTAGTCCATATGTAGTCCATATCCTGGTCAGCCTATGTGTTCAAAATATCTCTTTATACAGGTGTTGATTGACCTCATTTCTGACACTAAACACCACAGTGCAAAGTACTTCGCGTATGTGTTAATTATTAAGAATAGCTATTGTATACGTTCAACATTCGAGAGAAAGTGGGTTTGTATGAATTTTGTCCGCTGGGCGAGTGTGTAAAATGTACCACAAAAAGAATCGTCAAAAATAGATAAATTCTTTATATTTTCTCCATTCCGCTCATGTTTCGTGGGATTTTCACTTCAGTCAAATAAATCCGAAAAATTTTAATGCTAATTTCATGATTTCCTATTATTTCTCTAGACATGAAGCATTTTTAAATCTATCTAGTCGTCCTTGAATGATGCATTAAAACAACGATGAGCATATTTTTTGCGTGAATATATTAGAACGTTTGGTTTATTGCAGCAGACAGTTTAAACTCACACTCGATCAAAGTGCCTCACTTGAAAAATAGTAATAATCAAATAAAAATAATTAATAAGGCTTGGCATGTTATGAGTTGGGTGAAGTAAGGAACCATAGTAAAGTAGCATCGACTTAGTTCTTTCGCATAAAAAATGCCCATTTTCTCTTCTTTTTTATTAGTCTGTAAAGTGCTTAATAGAATTTTCATGCGATAACCGGAAATAAAATAAAATGAAATAAAATATCGATAAATTCATAGAAATGAAATAAGGTGGCTCGCTTGGTGTTGCCTTGGTGATTGGAATCTTATTCCTTTAAAAGAAAATTTTTTTAACGGTCAACCAAGTTACCATGCAAATTCAAGCCTAAACTAAAGGATCTCAAAAGTCAGATCAAAACAATATAAAATGAAAGAATATGGATCAGGCAAATTGCTAAACACTACACATTAAGATTAGATTAATTCAATTTCTTTTTAGCAGCTGCATATGTCAATCAGTGCAAGTTATTATTTTCATCAATGTCAAACTGTGTCTCATGAAATGGTCTTACTACATAGGAACATTTATAATTCAACAAACTTTAACATTCAAGAAGTAATTTCATTATTTCAGGAACTGAGCTAAATTGCTCCACTGGCTATTGGCATGAAGGAAAAATATGCAGCAAAGCATTATCGTTTTTAAAGGCAAAGCTTTATTTGAAGTCTTTTCATGAATAGCTAAAAGATTGGTCGAAGATTCCAAATCATAGGAATTTGAAAGAAAATTTTTTTAAAAATTACTTCACTATTATTATTCGATAATGTTGTCGCAAATCATTCATAGGTTTCCTAAATTTAATTCCTTATTTTTTGACAAATCGCAGTTTTGACTAATTCTTTTATTCGTCAACTATCCCCAGTGGGTCTTTTCCTTTGCGTACACAGTTTGACATATGATTTGAACTAAAAAATGATTTTTATTTTTCTCTTATTTTTAATCTTTTCTTTTTATTTTGAATTTTTTGTTCATTTATTTTATTAATTTCTGCTTTCATTTTACTCAAATTTTCTGCCATTATATTTATTTATAAGCGTAAAGTTCACTGATTATCGCCGTTCTTTTTCAGAGTTAGTTTTCAATTTAATTTTTACTTTTTTGAATAAATTAATATTTCGCCCACTATGCTGATTATATGAATTCGCAATGACATCCAAATAAAATGAAAGAAAAATTTTACTGATAAATTCGAGCAATTATTTATTTTCTCAGTGGTTGATTAATTAACCAAAATTTCAAAGTTGAATATCTCTGAAATCGGTACTGCAGTTCTTTAAGAAACCCAATTAACCTCACTAAGTGATCATAGTTCAGTTTATTTTACTTTCTACTGTTGATCTATGGATGTTTTCGGTACTTGGTCGTTTAATAATTTTAATTAAGACAAATATCATTCAATGAAGTTAATTTTATGCTACTGTTTTTATAATTTTCTGAAAGCGTATCAGTATATCTATTGCTTGATAATATTCTTGATACCATTCAAGGGCAAACCTATTTTGCTTTGTGACTTTTCGAAGCCTTTGTCACAAACTATCTTTAAAAAAGATATAAAGGGAGAGTCAAGTGTAATTGCTGTAAGCCCATCATTTCGATCAATCCATAACATATATGAAAATGATAATCAAGAGCCAAGAGTTTTAAAAGATGTCTCGGAAAAATGATTTTCGGAATTGTTCTTGGAATTGTTCAACTGATAAACCCCAAAAATTAACCTTTCCTCCAATTTCGCTGTGGACATTCGCTTTTTCGAATATTTTAATATTAAAAGACGAATTCATGTAAAAAATATTTCCAAAAAATGTATTTTGATCATTTTTTTGTTCTATAATTTCATATTAAAAAAGATACATTCATATAATTATGAATGCATTTAAAATATTTATATGGAAAAGACTGCAAAAAAAAGTGATCAGTGCAAAGCAATTTATGCGGAAGATAGCTATTTTGACTACGGTTAGAGGATTTGATTGAAAGAAGTTGCTCAAGCATATCCTGTTGAAGTCACGGCTGATAAATACTACTTCTTATAAATAAATGCATATATACTAGTTTATTTGTGCTTCTTGGGTAAAAAGAAAGCTCATTAGCACGATAAGTCCAATTTGCTTTCGAAAAGTCGATTTCTCGCTGGCTTATTTTGGTTATGATGAAGTTGGTTATGGTGTAATGGTGGTAGTCGATGTTGCTCATTTTAGCGCTTATGCTTGCTTCACTTTATTTTGAAAAACATTTTAATAAATGTTGGTTGTTCACATAATGCAGTGATTTAAAGCCAAATTCGAAAATTTGTTTCTTAATTCGTCCTCAAACAAATTTCCGCCTTCAAAATTTCTCCTAAACTAGTGGTAAGTTTTTTTATAAACTTCCGTCTAACGAAAAAATTTTTTTCCCAATTCTAATTGTTTAATTTAATTCGTTCAAAATCACTGTTCCTTATAAGATTAATTTTTAATCTTTTTTTTGATAACGAAGTTAGCGAAGACAATCAAAGATTGTGCTCCGACTTTTCGATATTCTTTCTTAAGTTAATTATCAAAAAAATCAGTTAAGATTTTTGGTTCAATTTTAATTTTTCTTATTATTTTGAGGTTGAAAAAGGGCTGTAATAAAAAATTATTTATAGAAGGACAAGACCGGCTGAATTTTCGTTCTCTTTTCAGATTTTCGTTCGTAAAAGAAAATAAATTTTGAAAAAAAACCCGGTAGCCTTTTTTTGATTAAAAATTGCTGTATTTTGATTAATTTTATCTTTCGAATTTTGGTATATTTTAGAATTTTTTCATATAAGATGTGATGTTGCAATATTTCATTTGGAAACAAAAATTTTTTATTTCAAAAATTCTCATTCGATTAGATTTCATTCCATTATTTTCAAAATATGCCATTTGACTGTTTTTTCTCTTTCGCGTTGATTTTTTTTGGATTGGTTCATTTATTTTAGAGTTAAATTAGACTGTTAATGAACCTATTCACTATACATCTTTTTTCGTTATTAATGTCTTTGTGATTTAAATTTTTTTTCATTTCACAGCGAAATCATTTGAGTCTTCTGTATGATATTCCCAATATTCCCAACATATAGGTGCAATTAGCTTTTTATTTTTGAGTTCCTTTATATCCTAAGAAACGTTTCTTCTGACAGCACACACCATTTCTAGTTCGGCTGATCCTAATGAGTGGTGGGTTGAAAGCGTTTCAACATAGAGTCATTTGTGGATGAAGGCGCAGATGAATCCTCATGAAACTGAGATCTCTTTTCTAGTGGCACATTTATCTCGTGAAGAGGCAAGAATGGAACCGATGCTAGTTCATTCTCAGTCGAAGCAGCATGGCTATCAATCTATCTATCAATCGCATTCTTAATGAAACTAAGTGGGGTTAGACCGCAACCGCTGTTGTCATAAATTTCATATATGCAATAAGCAACATTTAATCTTAATGCTTAAGGAAAGGCATAAACATTGTAATTTTGTTCTTAAATACCTAAGTAATAATTTTCTTGAAAAATTCTAAATTAGTATTTGAGAATAGCCTTCGCAAAAATTCATTGAAAAATATTAGAAAATGAGAAAAACTCACTGACTATTCGCTATTTAATTTATAACCAAATAAGTCTTCTTGTCAGTCAGAAATCCACCAAAACATGTAAAACTGAGGATTTTATTCTTCCTAATCGAGCCATCTCAATGCTTAACGCAATTTTTGTTTACGACATTTCATTATTGTCAGCTAATTAATTTGCTCGCAATACGTCGTCTATTTCGCATAAGCCTTGCATTGCATTATTATTGAAAATTAACAGCAATGCTTATGAAGAATCTATCTAAATATGTTCATTTAAGAGAAACAAAGTCCTATTAAAGAAACTTTCATTTCTCCTAATTCTTATTCATTATTTTTAACTGATGAAAACAAAATTTTTTAAATAAATAGATAACTTATGGTTTTTGAAAATTTCAAATAAATAATATTGCACATAGTTGAAATATTTTAATAATAATATATTTTGATCTTTTTATTGCGTAGAACTTATTGCGCCGTTTCTAAGTGTAAAGAATTTGCCGTAAAAAATAATTCGAGCAAAATCGGTTATAGATGGAAATGCTAGAACAGTGTTGTCGCACATCCGATTCGAATCAAACGGAGATCACTTCGGGTGAATTGAACCGTGCGGACGTAGCACCACATCGTGGATTTAATCTGAAGGCCAGAGAGGTACTTCTAGAGCCTTTGCCACCATTTGCCGTAACCGCTAAGGTACCTCTATTTTTGAATAATCATTTGTTTATTTAGTAGAAAAATATTTTTTAAGAATTTTTAGATTTCAAAAAATTTTTTATCATCGAATTCTTTTTGAAAACATTAGAAATAAAATAAATACACATTTTGCATGATTCCTGAATCAATCGGCCGCAATTTTCTCAAAATAATTTAAATAAATATATATGTACATAATAGTATGTAAATATATAATATATAAATTGTGGAAATTGAGCATGAAATGCAGAGAAATTTATTAATTAAATATTATAAATAAATGCTAAACGATTTATAAGGAATGTGATATGTAAAAACGATCTTGCTAGGCTTTATTTTTTGTAAAAGTTTACTAATTAAATATTATAAGATAAGATGAAAGCCATGACCACGGCGGACTGATGGCAGTATTTTTTTTTGAAGATTTCTTTTCTATAAGCCAATTCGAAAGATATACATTTACATATACATTTATATATTTACATACACTTTCTTTACTCAGTTTTCTCAATTGGAAAAAATATCCTTAAAAAATCCTTAGTAAACCCTAGAAGACTTGAATATAACGGTATATCCTCCGTTTACAAAAATTTTATGAAATATCATCGCATAAACAGAAAAAAATATAAAAAAAAGAACTATCTGAACGATTTTATGAGATATATTGCAATATATAGATATATGTTTTGAGTTCTAATATTTTATTAAACGAAGTGTGTGCTTCGAGCATCTCGGAAGAAAGCCGAAAAAAGTAACTTCAGACTGAAAAATCTTTGGCTATAACCTTAATTTCTATAATCTTAATCGCCAAATTGTATTGAATGAAAAAAATTTTTATTTTATTTTACTTTTATCAGTTCGCTCAATCGAGATAACAAAGTGTTCATAACATTATTTCAGTGTAGATTTGTAAAGCCTTAATGTGATGTTTAATATTAACGTTTCTAGTTCTATTTATGTTCTTACATTTGTGTTTGCATAGCGATTATCGACAAAAAATATTCAAATTACATAAATATTTAACGAAAGTTTTTCCAAATAATTTAAATAGTAGAAAAATTATTGATAAAATAATTGCAAAAACGAATTCTCATTTTCAATAAAATATTTCATTTTTTAAAATCAGTTTGAGAAATATTTCGAGCGAAAAAACATCTTTCTGGATGAGAATTCAGTTAATATGATAAAATTGGATTTATCATTTATTAATTAAAACAAATTCTTTATATTTTTCTCTTATCAATAATTAATATAATTAATATATTTTAAAGAATATAAAGTTTCTTGCTATTTTCTTGATATTTAAATTAAGGAATTGATTTCACTTTTAATGTTTTGGTAAATGAAATTTAAAATTTTGAAAAATAGAGAAGAAATTGATTGGGATCGATCAGAAAGTCGTTGAAGTCTTGTTAACGATTTGTTGACATTTCATTTGCCCGGCAGAATTCTTAACCAAAGTGTTATCACCATAATTTTATTTTCAAAAAAATAATGGAAAATGGCGAATTAAGCAAAAAAAAGAATTTATGCGAATATTAGTTATAAAGAAATTGGAGAATTTCGTACTTTTTACCGACTAATTTGGTCAAAAATTTTATCTTTATCACTTTAAAATCTGTATTTTATAATTTCTTATTTTTATTTTACGTCATTTCTTGATTCATTTTAACATATTCGACATACGTCATTCTTGATTCATTAACATCATAATTGCTAGGCTGCAAACACAATAGCAATTAGTTTCGCTTGTGTCAAAAAACCACTTTAAAGCCAGGATTAGTCGCATAGCCAACAGATTTTGCAGGAACCGAGCCATGAAACGAGTTCAGCCAGTAGCGCTTGCAGTCCAATCGCGCCTCATCGAGGTTTCAGTGCTAAAGCAAAAGAAATGCTAATAGAACGCGATTTTTCTTGGCCTATTCCACCAAAACCAGGTCAGTTTCAACTTCAGTTTTATTATAATTATATTATACAATTAGTTGATTCATTGACGCGGTCCAGTATTAAGCGATCGAGACTTATTTCATCGAATCTGCAAACTTTAAGAATTTTTAAAATTCGAAATAATGGGATAGTTTATAGTAGGGGAAACTATATATAAGAATTCTAGTATCTAAAATTCTTTTGCATATTATTTATTCATTTTCAGCTCCATTATTTTAACTTGCGAGAAGAATATAAGATTCTTTCCACAAATGGCTAGCAGTCTTATGATGCCATTTTCATTAGTCTGATCTTCATTTGTCATATTTACCATCTGAAATTAAATTTTTTTTTGTGAATTTGTAATATTTTTAATATTTTGACAACTTCTTAGCGTTCCCTTTTATTATTAATAAAAAAATTCAAATAGGAAATTTTCTGAAAATTTTTTAGGCTTGTTTAGATTTTAAATCTTTTTTTTTGAAGAATTCAAGAGCTAGAGTAGTGTTTAGCAGTTAATGGCACATTTTCTTCAATCTCTGCAGTCAATAAATCGATGAGCACCAAAATCTACTTCAGCTCAAGTTTTACTACATCAATTGCTCATAATAAGTTTCGAGCAATCTCAAGTTCAAATTTTTATCGAAATCGCCTTAGCGCAACAAACAACTCGAGGAATGAAATTTTATCAAAACACCTTAGATTTTCCAACATTTTCAACAACACAGAATTTTCCATCAACTTTTTGCCATAACGACTATGCAGAATTTGAAAATTGTAATTTCAAAATATTCATCATCATTTAACAATCTCCATTTCTGGACTGATGGCACTGACTGTTGGAACTTTTCGCCAGAATTTGGAAAGAGAAAAATTTGCGGGTTCCTATCCTCTCGGGAACACTTTTAATCACTCTCGCCAAAAGAAAGGAATCAAATCCATAATTCTTGACCATAGTTGAAGCAACACCTTACTGGACCTACCTCTGTCGGTGCATTGAAAAATCCACGTATTCTTAAATTTTTTTGGCCATTTTTTTGGCTTCAATTTTATGAATTTATTTAGGCAAAAATTTCATAAATTCAATAAATTATAAACAATAAATTCCTATGAATTACTAAAAATACATTATCTAGAATTTATTACGATTAAGTCTTCTCTCTAATCCGAATCTAATATGTTTTGAATAATAATGGTTATAAATCTCTTTCACTCGAATTGAGACACTTAACGTAAGATGCATGGAGCAGTATAATTAGTCGGTTATTATTTATACAGAGATTTGAGGCTGACAAGGGCAAAATATACGTGAGAGAAATATAGGCCGGTTAGATGGAGTTGTTTGAAAAAGCGATAGAAAATATTCTTGAATATTTTTGAGGATTTTAGTTTTTAATATCGTGAAAACTTTGTACACCGGGAATTTTGAAACCTGGTTATTCTACCAGCTTCAAAGAGTTCTTTCTACTCAATAAACTCTCCTGTTGACCAGTTTAAAGGTTAATTTTCAAGTAAAATTGCTTTCACAAAAAGCAAATAAAAAATCATAAATCTTATAACTAATAAGATTTGCAAAAGTTTTGAATAGCATGACGAAATTTTACAAAATCTAATAGTTTACAACAGATTGATCATTTTTTCAGATTCTGTGATGGCAAAGTTAAAAAATGAACCAGAGCGCCAGAAACAAGCTCAAATAAAAGCCAGCAACAGCAATATAAGCCTAAACTTGAATTCGGTCAATCCGATTTCTAGTAAAGGTTAGGCTTCCTATAATTTCATTTGGAAGCATAAAAAGATCCGCTTAGCCCTCACTTATACCTCATGGTCATAGCGGGATAAATATTTTATTGACACTTCCAGTAGCTCGTTTCTGGCCATATAAAGAATCCTTTTTATTTTTTTCTTTCATGTACCAACCATGTAGCTCTTTTTTTAAATATTTTCCGCCATTTTATCTTATTTAGCATTTATTATATGATACTAATTTCTCTGCATTGTAATATTTCCATTTTCCCAACTGTGGTGGAAATAAACCTATCATTAAGAAATTCGAGCCGTACTGGCGAACAATTTTTTTTGTATCGCAAAAAATTTTTTCTGACAAAATTTCCAGCTGTACTAACAGTAAGCTAGCAGAAACAGAACTTTTTTTTAGTGATAACTTTTTTTTTAGCATCGGAGTTTCCGTTAGAAATTTGCATAAATTTTTTTAGAATTCTCGTTGATAGAATCATGCATAGAAAATGTTGGATGGTTTTATCATTTTCTAGTGATTAATATTTCTAATTTTATTGTTTTAAAAAATCATATAAACATTACACGTATTCCCGTATTCCCATATAACAAGTAAAAAAAGCTGGAAAAGTGGCTCTAAGAGATTCCATGAGTATCAGGAATCTCCGTATTGAACTATGCAACAATTGAGACACTGCACAGCATCCTCAAACTCTCAAGCCTCTGATGAACACCTAATATATATATATATATATATAGATATATGTATGATTTATAAATTTTTTTTTAACAGCCCTCACCATTACTTGTTAAACTCGCTCCAATAGTTTGTCGCATTGGGCAATATGTCAGGTAGTATCTTAGCGATAGAAATACAAGTGAGTCGACAGGATTTTCGCACAGGTTTCCTCTTACGGGGAATCGAACCTCAACATCGGTGCTCTCAACTGAGCCATTCTACTCCCATAATTATAAGTATAATTATATATATATAATTTAATATTACATATTAATTTGGTCATAAATGAATCAGCAGGTATGGATCCTACTCAAATTGCTCAAATCATTATTTTTCAGCCTTTACCTTTACTTTTTTGCATGATTTGATGACAATTCGTATAATTACTATCTTATTTAAGAATGAGTTGAACATATAATTTTGCGAAAATACTGAAAATAGTTATGATCAAAAAAAAATTTGACAGTTAGTAACAATAAATAAAATTATGAAAATAAGCAAAAATAGGGAAATAAGTGGGCAGCAATTACTATTTCTGGTTGGGCTTGCTCCTTAGTGCACTGAGAAATTTTTACCAGGAAGTCAGCTGGTGACATAGGAGTCGCCAGCACCGCTGGGACTTTTAATATAAATTTGCTCCCATTGAGGAAGGAGTCGAACCCATCTCAACTGAGATCTGAGCTACTTTACCATTGTACCCAAAAAATTATAAAAATAAAACTATAAAATTATAAAAATTATAAAATTTAGAAAAAAATTTAAAAATTGCTATGGCCACTTTATAAAGTAAGCAATAACAATTCTCCTTTTTACTAGCGCAGGCTGTAAAAACCAAATTATAATCTTAGAATAAGAAGGCTAGCATACTAGCTTCCATTTTTTTAAGCATTAGGGTATAAAAAAATAAATTTTTTGTAATCATAATAGGTAATATTGTAGATTCCCTAAATGAGAGTCAATTTTTAATCAAAGAAAAATTACTTTAAATACTAAGCAGATTTCCGAGATTCTCGCAAAACTTTTTGCATAATCGCTTATTATAATTTATTCTGTTCTCTCTGAACAGGTGGAGTTTATTTATTGAAGGATCTTTAAACGACATCAGTTCTAAGGTGAATAGAAATTGATAGAAGAGAATAAAGTTTCGCAGATCAGCATGTAATTATTTTTTTTCTAATTTTCCCGATCAATTTTTTCTGACTTCATCCTTTTCAGGATTCGATGAAACGGTCGAATTTATGCATTCCAAAGCTTCAAGAATTAAGGCTCGTGTGCTGCTTGGCGATATAGGGAAGACACGGTCTGCTATAGATCTCTATCAACGACAAAGAAAAGATCGTCCATTGTTTAAAGTATATCAACAAGATGACATGATGTGAATTGATTAATTCATTTCATTTGAAATGTAAATTTATATTCTAATAAATTTTATTTATTAAATCGTATCGCATTTTAGTGCTCTTTAACGCATAAAAAGAAAAAGTTTTGGGTTGAGTTCAGGCGCTCCTCTTAATCTAAACGCACTCTGTTATAGGCATTCTCTTTATTTTCGACTTTGATTTCAATTTGAATATCAAAGAATTCAAAATGGCCAGTTTATAAATTTAACAGAATTTCTTCAAAGTAATTCCGGCACGTTTCATGTCAGATGAAAATCAAGTGACGAAATTTGCTTTTGCTCGTTTGAAGCATTTTTCTTCCTTTTCAATCATAATTAAATCATTTTGGAACTATAATCACCTATTTAGAACAGTATTTACTCAAATAAGAAAAAAAAAAATAAAAAAGGTATCTGTGGAGAAAATGCTCCAGGAAAATTGATATTGATCCTGGTAAGTTTAAGTAAGTTTATATGAGATTCTACCAATCTAATTAGTATTTTCCATAACTGCTGCATCGATACGAATGCAGTGCCTACCATGCCGTATTCATTAGTTTAATCCATCAGCAACTTGCTACTTCATTTCGTTCTAATATTTCCTTTGTTATTTCGCTGCAAAATTTAAAAAAAAGATTTGGAGGACTTTTCTTGGAATATTGGATAAATGCATTTTAAAGAGACCAAAATCAGAAGGTTCAAGAGAATTAAGAAGATTAATATTTTATCATTAATTTCAAAAAATAATTTTAAATTTGTAAGACGAAAATTGTTCGAACACTTTCAAGTCAAATATTTTAACAGGTTACAAGTTATTAATTCACAAAAAATGATCGATAACTTTTGACAAAAATAAATGTTTCTGCCAAAAATTTAAAGATTAAAATAAGCAAAACTGATTTCGTCAAAAAGCAACAATTCCCTTGAAAATCTGCAAGAGAAATTCTCGAAATGCCTAAACACGAATTTATTTTTGAGCGCAAAGATTATTCGAGCGGCTCGCTTAGTTATTTTCTCTCATAACCAGTAATTTGGATGGCTTTCATCGTCATTTTTCTGTTTATAACAATGGTGCAACAATGATATTTTTAAAATAATTTTAGTATATTGCAATTTTCTGTAATTTTATAATTAATTTGTAATTTTAATATGAATATGAACTATAACTAATAAGCATTAAAATTATGCATTCTACATTCTATATTCCTGAAAATTTACTACAAATATTCTTTAAGGGAAAGAAATAAAAAAATTCTGTTTGCAAACCAAAAGAGTCGCTTGAAGCCAAAATAAAATTTTAATTATCCTACTCGTAAATGAAAAATTCATCCGTTCGTTACCATATTCATTATGCGTCACAATGAGAAGATATTTGCGAATAAATCAACCAAACTGGTGCACAATGCTCAGCAACAAATATCACAGACAGCAAGCGGTGCGAAAGCGGTACGTCATTTAATGAGTTATGCAGAAAATTTGAGTCATGTTTTTGAGGAAAACAATTGTTAAGTCAAGTATAACATAAAATAATAAATAATATATATAGTAAACATGCAAAATGCAAGCTAGTCCGTCTAAGAAAAAGAGAGATTCAACTGATTTTCAAGGAAACTGAATTTGCAGCTAGCTTCTCGAGCGCAAAAAACAGTAATCAAACTTCGAAGACGCCCTCCATTGTATATTCGGTTTACCGTAAATGCCTATCATAAGTACGGGTTGAAACACATAATTCTCGTCCTATTTTTTCTTTTTTACATCTTTTTTGGTGCACTCCTCTTTCTTGTTATTGAAGCACCATATCAAAATGAACTCAAATATCGTTGGGAAAAGGTTTGTTGTCGAATTTATCAGCTATATCTCCAGTAAATACCGTCATCTTATTCACCAATCAACACTCAACTTAATACAATGCGTATCATTTTGGATATCAAGAGATACCACTTTTCGATATATCTCATCCATTCCAATCAAATTTTGAAGTGGATCCCGATTCGATAATATGTTTGCCAAATTTTGAAAAATTTTAAGTCTCAAGTTCAAATTTTTTTTTCTTAAAATTTGTTAAAAGACATTTCTTTGTAAAGAATGAAAATTTCGTGGGCTAAGACAATGGTAAGCAGGCTTAAATTGGTAAACTTTGGAAAAAAATCTAATTTTAAGACTTACATTTTTATTATTTTAGAAAATTGCTGTAAATAGGAAGTTATTCACTGATGATATGATGAAGGATTTTTTCAATAATTCCAGATTTCTACTATATATTAAAGGAAGGACGAGTAGAAGAATTGAAGCGCACATTTTAACGTACTACTATTCTTTTTATGGCTTTTACAAATTATAAATTTGAAAAATCATTTAACATTTGACTCTTTCCGCATCAAAAATCTGTCAGAAATGAAAAATTCATAGTGTCTGTAATGAAGGATGATAAAATAATTATAATGATTAAATAAATAAAACAATTTCCTTGAATAAATTTTTATTTAAAATATAAAAAATAAAGATTTAACGATAAAAATTTAAAGATTCATTTCTAATTCAGTTTTTTTTCGAATATTCAGGTTCTTATTCGAAAGTAAATTGGTTCTTAAGATTTTTCACCTTATAATTTTTCTTATAAGACAATTATCACAGAAATTTCTGTTTCTCTCGGAGACTAAGTAGGAAATTGGAATGTTTATGACATTATCAAATTTTATTTCGCATTTCTTTATGCTAAAAATGAAAGTTTTAAAGAATTTTAGTTAGTCTATATCGATTATATGAGGCTTTGATGCTAGATTTTTTGGTATAATTACATTTTTTACCAACGCCTAAAGGAATTTAAATTCTCTTGGGTATGATCGATTTATGACTTAGGCCATATTAAGTTATAGAAAATCCAATTGTGTCGAAAGCTCGGTTAGTTTCTTTCTTTTTACGATTCAACATCATTCATTGAGCTTCCGTTATGCCTTGCCGTTCCATCTAATTGAAATGATCCAATTATCTATATCCATGTTTTATATTCGAGTATTCGAATAGTATTAAATAAATCTCATAACCACTATACAGATGGTAAGTAATCTGAATAAAGATAACCGAAGATAATTACGACAAGTTTAAATGTCGCCAACTTTTCGAGAACTCTATTTAAAAAGTTGGCACACAATCGTAGAGTTACGAAATGTAGATTTTTTTCACCACCAAATATACTCGATAAAAAATTTGCCATTGTACTGGCAACCATTTTACAGGCCGTGATTCTTAAAAAAACACGGGTGACATATGGATTACAATTTGAATGGTAGACGCATCGTGAATTACCTCAGCAAAAAACTAAGTGAATTGAATAATGCAATAAAAAATTTTTAAATCCACTATTTGAGGGTTGCAGTCTTATAGGTTCTTCTTATTAGAAATTTTAGAAAAGCTGGCAAAGAGCTTAAAAAATACTGCAAAACTTTGATGGATCAAGACAAGTTGAACAAAAATTTTTACCTATTTCTTACACAAATTTATAAAAACAAAAGCTTAATTATCATTTAGTGATATTTGCTAAGTGCTCGCAACATCAAGAAAAAATGTTTAATATTTAAGGTACTTGGAGTATTATGAAAAGAGTTTGAATATAAGATGGACGGAACAAAAGTTAACTTGGAACTACTGGAATTCCGTTCTTTTCGCTGGAACAATTTGTACAACAATAGGTTAATTATTAAATTTAAAGATAAGAATTTGCTATCGCAATTCCATTGGCCATATTTAGAAAACAAGTAGAAATTACATCATTTGCTGTTGATATGCCTATGCGTTTTATAAATATTTCATAAAAACTGCACTCTCGTTGCAGATATAATTTTGGAGCTGATCGGTCGATTGATAAACCGCTTAAATTGAGATTGAACAGTCGTATTCGGTTCATAGCACGATATTAAAAGCAAAATCTACACGGTGCTGTGGACCATTTTTACCTCTTTCTTCAGAGTGACTGACTAAAGGGTGGTGTATGATAGTTAATAAAGAAAAAATAAACGGTGATTGCGTAAAAATGTATAGTTGAAAAAAATTTTAGTTAGCATAAAACAATTCCAGGATATGGGCATAAATATTAAAAAATTCATGATTTTAAAATAATAATTTAAATTAATTTCAGGATATGGACATATTTATCCATCAACGAATGCGGGAAGGATTTTGACAATGGTTTATTCACTGGGTGGTATTCCACTTGTTCTGCTGCTTCTCCAAGATTTGGGGAATTTGTTAACTATTTTCATGAAATACCCTTGGTTCCAATTCAAACGATTCTTAAGAAGAGCTTTACGGTTACTGTTACTTTTGTTATTTTTCAACTTCTATTTTCATATTAAGCGGTAAAGTAAACATATAAAATAGACAAATAAGGAAATCACTTTTTCCACTACATATAGGTAACACAGAATAAGGACTAAAAACTTTTCTTATTAATGAATCAAATGGTGTGCAGAATTTTTTAAATCTCTATTAATCTTAAACACCATTAATATTATAATAACCACTATAGCTGAAAAAATTGTCAAAATTTTAGCTTGATCACGAAACAATCGTTGAGTGAGATAGCCTTTATAGAAATGGAAGAACGAAATAATCTACGCATATTTGACGTACCTATCCCAGTCGCAGTGGGATTAGTAGTTATTTGGCTATGGATATGTTCAAGTGTTTTTTGCTATTTAGATAAAAGATGGACATTTTTGGAAGCCTTTTATTTTTTCTTCATATCGTTAAGGTAATTAACCGTTTAAGACAATTTCAATAACAATAATCGTCAGACTGGCTCCATGGTGACCTCTCATAGGGTGTAGAGGAGTTTAAATTAAATTACATATTTTTATTTTATTTACGAATGATAACGAATTTTAACGAATATTTTATGCAATTTATTATATTCATTCAAAATTCTTAGATGGAAAAATTTAATAAATATTTTAACACTTTAAAATTTGAAAATTGGAGTGAATTTTTATGACATTTCTATTTCGTTATTTGCTAAACCGTGTGATGGTTGGCGTCAAAAGCGAGGTGGACCAATAAGACCTGGATTGATACAGTCAGGAAAGATTTTGAACGTATATAGGTGGACCAGCAATATATGGACTTAGACGATGGAAAAGGAATGGCTTCTATTACTGTCAACGATAGCATCAGACCGCGCTGCTTGGAAGCGTATTGCCCTTGTAGCCGTTGGAGCCAGCCTAACCAGTAATAGTGAGGGCTGTTAGAAGAAGAAGATGGCATCATCTAAGGAGTCCTCGAAAAAAGTCTAATGACTACTGGTCAAAAACCTTGCAAATTTGTGCTGTTCTATTAAGATTAGAGAAAAAGTTCGACGAACTAGCAGTAAATTTGCATTATTTGCAAAATATTCAAGGGGTCTTAGGCATCCATTTGCAGTCTGGGAATAAAAGTTTATTTGGAATCAATCCGTTTTTAAGATTTTATTTAAAAAGGCAAAGAAATATATCAAAATATTTAAAAATAATTTAAGAATAATTTACAATAATAATAATAATCATTTTTCTTATATTGGATGTGTTTTGATAAAAGGTAGTTTAATCATTTTTTTCTTTGCCCATTTAATCATAAAAATAAATGCCCTAAATTTCTGCAAGTTATTCTTATCATTATTATTCTTATTCCTATCCAAAAAGCAACATTCCCCAGAGAGAATCCGTGAAAATTTCCAGTCTTCATCGTGAGATTACTTTCCTCGTCATCGCAAACTTTTTACTGTAGTTGTCATTAATTATTAACGTACTGCAAAAGTATTTAAGACCATATTTATGATATGAGGCATTATTTGCGATGAATGTACTGTATGCTTAATTCGATCAGAGCTACTTTTAAATAAAATAGGGCGTTAGACACAAGTATTTTCACTGTTCCTCTTTAAAAAAAGGCAAGATTTTCACTTTACTGGAGATGAATTCTTGGAATTTCTTTTCCAAATCGTTCGATTATTCCATACGAAGCACTTGAACAAATTCAGCTTATTTAGCACGATTGGCCTGGGTGATATGGTACCATCTTCGCCGAATACTTTAATTTCTATGTTTGGCTTAATCGTTTTTGGGTTATCGTTAGTATCAATGGTGCTCAACCTGCTTCAAAGTAAGATGCGCTCCACTTATGAGGGTCAAAAAATTTCCACTGAAGGCGAAACAATTTTTGGACCAGCACTCGGCATTATTCAGGTTTGAAAGGATGCTTTTAACATTTAACATTTTCTCTCATCTAGAACGCTTACTGTATTTGTAATCAATTTTACCACTATAGCTAGGCAAAGTTTGTAATTGATTAATTTAAAATTTTTAGTGTGTTGATGGCTTGCGTGTTGTACCAGACCCAGCATTGATGAGACCCATGCGTTTAGTCCAAACTGATATCAGCATACCGGCTTCAATAAGTGTTCGTTTAATTCATTTAACCAACTTCAATTTAAATTAAATAACTTTGCTCACTTAATTCGTAGATTGTACTTAATGCATTTCAATTTAAAAGTGTCATCCAAATGGTACTTTCCTTGTAACGAAAAAACGCACATTCTCATTTATTTTGTGGAACTTTTTTGGCGAGTGGAAACAGCTTAAATGATAAATGATCAAAAAAAGCTCAAGCATTTTTCAGCAAAAATGTAAATTGATATTTAGAGTTGTTATTTGGCTTGGGATCCATTAGAGTCGTTAGAGATAACATCAGAAAATATAAGCAAAAGTGAAGATTACGATTTGATAGCTATCGCTGATATAGCGGATTGTTCAGTTCCTGGTGATCTAGGAGAAAAATGGTCAATTAGCGATTACGAAAACACTGACATTCTCGACGAAATTTCAGCGTAAGTGGAGTTTATTCAATTAAATTGCAACTGAAAGAGAAATTTTGTTTTAAGCTTTTTAAACCAGTAATTTTTTAGTGCAGATTGGGGATTTTGGAACAGATTTTGACTTAACGATTCCTTAACATTTCTGCTTCTGGTAATAAGGTTGAAGAAATTAAAAATAGATAAGATCTTAAGGAAATTTATTCCTAGCACTATGGCTTAAAAAAATAAGATTATAGCATAATTGGTCTTTTTATCAGTAATAATGGAAATATTTCATTTTATATCATATATCATAAACGAAATTAAGCATAACAAATACTGTGCATGATGAATCTCTGAATAAATAAGAATGTGGCTAATGGCATGCGCTTAAAAAAATCGCCAGGCATTCGGTTTATGCAGCATGGAACGAAGGCATATTTTCCTATTTTATTTATCATAATTTAACATTAATTAATTAATTTTTAAGTTGGCTGGAAAAGAATTAAGTCTTATTCAAAGCTATTTTACATATAAAATAAGATTGTTCAAATAAATTTTTCTTCAAGCTTTAATATAAAAATAGTTTGCAAATTGCTGCGAAATCAATGGTGTTTATATTAGATGTGAAGATTTTATTTTTAATTGAAAGATCAAAATTTTCAATTCTTTGATTTCCTTTTTTTTTATTGTAACGTGGTTTTGGCTTTTCAAAAGTACTAAAAACGTTAAAGAAAAGTATTTTTAAAAATTTATTTTGCAATATATCATTTTATATCGATGAAAAAACTCTTTATTAAAATCAAGAAACACTGGGATGAATTAACAAGATTCAATCGATTGTGAATATGTAAAAGTCAATTGAAACTATAGAATTCCTAAGTAGCTTCGCTACATATGAACGAGAAAAGATATAATTAAAAATCGGAACAAAATGTTAAATGCAAAATGATGTACATATAGCACCATAATTGAAGCATTACGGAAGACGGTAATGGGAGTTGGGAAGACTTTATGTCAACTACAGCAGAAAAAGGCTAATCAAACTGACTTTTAAGAAAAGTCACAATTGCTGAGGTGACATTCATTCATATGCATTTAAAGCATATTATTGTGAAATATTTTATAGTTATGGACTTTTATCATAAGTAATTGGCAAATATGTTTGAATAAAACTGTTAAGAGGTACAAGAAAGCACTTACAAATAAATCAGGCTAAATCGGATTGAAAATTAACGAAACTTGCACTAGCACTCAAACCGATTGGACCCATGGTGGATGCGCGATTTTTCGAGCGCAACTTTGCAAGTGAGTTTTCTGCGATATCAGCGCGTTCATTGGCGTCATCGACTTGAGTTTGAAGCTGTCGATATTTTCCAAGATTAACAGCTGCCACTTCCTCCTGGAAAATTTTGCCATGTTGAACGAATTCGCTATTTCTTGAAAAATACATTTTACATAACTCGTAATAAAATTCAAGAAGATCGAATCATGTCGAAAGTATCATAATATCATAATAAAGATACTGCCAAATTTCGTTGATTAAATAAGGCATTAAGAAATAAGGCGAAAAAATGGCGTTTGGGCAATCTGCCCCTATTCTTATCCCTCAAATCGTGTTATGTTATCCTTCCCAATTCCATTATTTTTTCCTTATCTGCTCTTAATTCTCTACATAGTGTGAAACTTTTGTGGTGCTGGATTTGAAACCTCTCCCTTATTTTGTGATGTCCTTTTATGCTCTCTAAAAATCTTCTGAAACCTCATATCTACTTCATCAATACTATTCTGAAATGTCAATTTACTCTACTCATATTACGCTCTCCATGTCTTTGAAACTGTCCAAATACTGTCACCTTAGCACCTCACTTATGTTCTATTGCATCCCTTCCTCCCAGCATCCTGTGGAGTTGGAAATGCTTAGTTTCCTCTCAAACCCAGTCTTTCTTTTTGTGCATATGTTTGACCTAGTAATCATGCTTATTGCTTCTTAATGAACTTCTTAATGAAAATCTTTTTGCATCCGTAGAACTAATTATTGCCTTCTTACTAGTAAAATTATAAAAATTATAAAGTAAGAGGATTCATTTTACATAAAGCATAGAATTTATAGGAGATTCTATCAGCTAGGAACGAAATCTAACCGCTTCTTCTACTTGACGTTTGTAGATTTTTATTTTAACTTGGAGCTTATCAACCAATTCTGTAAGACGCTCGCTGTTTTTCCTGTCTTCCTCACACTGAAAATTTGTCTGATACATTGGTTCATCTTTGGTTTCTTTTAATATTACAATAATCAGGAAAATTATTAGCACCTGAAACTCGAGTTCTTTAATGCGTCTATCACCTTTCTTAATGTCTTTTTCCATATCTGACATTTGGCGCTGTCCATTATCTACTTCCTGTTCAAGTTCACGAATGCGTTGTTCGAGCTTGGCAATGATTTTTTTTCCACCACGTAAGGCCGCTGCCTCGGCTTCATCTAATCGTACCTTGAAAAATATTAAATAATGAATTCTTAAATCCCAACCAATTTATAAGTTTTTGCTGATACCAAATATAAATTAGAAAATTCTAACCTGCATTTCTTTAATTTGTACTTCTAATGCGCGGCGCATTCTATCGACATGCATTGAATGCTCTTGCTCTTGTCTGAGTTCTTCGGCAAGGCGTGCTGCATCAGCAGTTGCAGTTTTTAACATTTCATCAGTTGTTTTTAGTTGCGTTATCGTATCATCAAGCTCAACCTGAAAAATTTTTTTAAAGGAAAATAGAGAATTTTTTAAAGGAAAAACTTTTTATAGACAAGAAGTACAGAAATTTTACTGCCAGCTGTTTATTAATTTAATCTATTTATTATGTAAAAGCAAAGTCACTCACATGAACTGCTTGAAGTTCTGCCTCAAGTTTTCTTCTTGCGTTATTAATTGCATTAACTTGGTTAGTGAGATCATTAACTGCTTCACGAAGCTCAATTGCATCGTGTTCAGCAGTTCGTCTCGCCCGTTCTGCCTAAAATAATTGGCTTAATAGAATTCAAGGTTAAAGCACCATGCCGAAGACAACAATATTGGTAAAAACATTACTGCTTCTGCTTGATTGGCTAGCTCATCTTTTTCTGCTTGCAGAATGGAAGCGCGCTTCTGTAACGAAGCTAACTGTTCACTGAAATAAATCTTATGATTCACCTTTTAAAAACCAATAAAGGCTAATAGAACTTTATGTCAAAAAAATGGATATAAAGTATAAAATGTTTAAAAGTTAAATAAAAAAGACTAACGCAAGGTCATCTTTCTGCCTTTGCTCATCTTCCACTTGCAACTGAAGTTCGCGTACTTGTTCTTGATAACGTTTAATGTTCTTCTGCGCATCAGCATTAGCTTTGTTGGCGTGGTCAAGTGCGATTTCAAGCTCCTGAGGATGAGAGTCAAACTTAGATTTTTTAGATTTTTTTTGAGCTTTTTGATTCTAAATTTTTATTAGGAAATAAGCGCAGCTCTTGAATTTTTGCCGAGCAAAAGACAAAAAAATCTAACATTGATATCTTGCTCAAGTTTCTTTTTGATACGTAGGGCTTCATTTTTGGCTTTCGATTCAGCTTCAAGAGTAGCTTGCATACTTTCCAGTGCACGCTGGTGGTTCTTACGAGTGTTTTCAAACTCTTCTTCCTTTTCTTGAATTCGTTTTTCGATTTCAGCTCGAACTTGTGAAACTTCAACCTAAAATTAATATTATTGAGAATAATAAATAAGTTTATTTGAATATTCATCGCAAATTTTTTATTTTACGCCACATTATAAAATCATTAATAATGTATTCAGGACCTGTGCCCTCATAACTTTGGCTTCTTCAGCTTCCAGTGCTGACTCAGCATCGTCGAGGGCCTTCTGGAGTTCTTCCTTTTCTACTTCTAGACGACGAACCATCTTTTGCAATTCATGTACAGAGCGCCCACCTTCAGTCAACTGCTCTGTCAAATCTTTGATTTCTAATGAAAGTGATTTGTTCTCACGTCGAAGACTTTCGAGTTGCTGTAAAGTATGTAGTTTGGTAAGAAATTCATTAATAAAATACAGTTTTGACCAATGAACCAGGTGGTTGAATCGTATATTGCTACGATTGAAACCAAGTCATCAAGGATTCAATTCCCTCCGTTAACGGAGTACTTTTGTATTTTTATGCTCCGGTGGTTTTTTAGGCAATAGATTCCAACTTGAAGCCACTTAAGCCAAAAATGGTGAATGGTGAGTGTCAGAAGAAGAACCATTTAAGTCGTTAGTAAGCTATTAATCAGGATGACTAGTGTTCAATTTTTAAAATGGAAAACCTCGAGTAATTCATCTTGAATCGTCTTAGATTTGAAAAGCTCTGTTGCCATATTACGATTGTCACGTTGTGCAGCGTCTAATTCAGCAGCTAAATCATCGCATTTTTTCTTCCATTCTTCAATGATGCGATCGAAATTTTTCTGTTTTTTTTCCAAAGCTGCTGCATATGCGGCTGTTCGCTCTACATCAACCTAAATTAAGAATTTTAAAAAAATTCGTGCTTCAAAACCTATAAAGATAAGAGCAAGGTCAATTTTCAAAAGTTTTTAAAATAGCTCCTAATGGAATAAAAGAACCTGTGCATCGTCTAAATCACCCATTAGTTTGTGGCGTGTCTTTTCCAATGAAGCGATTTTGGCATTTGCTGCCTCATTAACATCAGTGAGATCCTGGACCTTCTGGTTAAGTTTGCGCCTGAACATTAAATAGATGAATAGATTAATTGCAAATGAATCACGTTATCTGCAATTCTATGTCACCAACTTGTTTTCTTCGATTTCTTCCAGTTTAGCTAAGCCTTCACTTTCAAATCGAGCTTTCCATTGTTGGATTTCAGCATTGAGTTTACTCATTTGGCGTAAACATTCTGCCTTTGCCTATAAATATAATTCCGTTTATCAGAATAAAATGCTATTTACGATGTCTTTATTTAAGAGAACTAATTCTTGGCAGCAAAGCTAAAATTTCGTTTCACATCAAAATCAGTGCGGCTTGATTAATAAATAAAATAAATGATAAAACAAAGGGTTCCTAAGCTATTTAATGCAGTATTCTTATTTTTGAAATATTCCAATCTATATATTGACGATATATTCTCATTAAAAATACCTCAGCTTCCTCGTCAGCATGAAGGCGTAAATTATCATTCTCGTGCTCAAGAGTTTTTACTTGTGCTGCAAGGCTTTGTCGCTCTCTGTAATTATTATTCAATACTCATAACAAATTCAAAATATTAAGTTCCTTTAAAACAACAAAGTTAACGATATGATATGAGGCCAATCGTTTTTGGCTCATGAGTAACGCCAAGATGCAAAACATTACTTGGATTCTTCTTCTGCCGTTCGTTTGGCTTCTTCCAATTGGCTCAGTAATTGTGCTTTCAGTCGATGTAGACTATTCAACTTAATTTAAAATGGTTATCAGGAATAAAATCGAAAATTCGCTATTTTTGTTCAAAAAAGTAGTGTTAGTTATCAATAACTAGAAATTTGAGGACGAATTTTTCTCAGAACAATGATAAGAAGCGTTTTTCTAACCTGGTTTTCCAAATCTTCGACTTGACGTGAAAGATCGCTGTTTTCGTTCGACAATCGTGATTTGAGAGCATTTAAATCGTTTATTAATCGCATCTTAATTGGATTTCATTGGTTTCACTAATTAAATATCGTTTTTCAAATAATTTTCTATAATACCATAATTGAAACCCTTGATTAATTTTGTTTTACTTTCATAGAAGTTAGAGCTACTTTTATAGTACCGGCGAAGGCCAAATTTCAAAATTATTAAAAGTCTATTAAGAAAAATTTGATTTACTTGTTCATCTGCTTTAGTCTGGAGCTCAGAATATTGCATTTCAGCCAATTTTGCTTGTTTTTCGAATTCTTGCTTTTGGCGACCTTCAGCATCTGCGTTAGCATTAGCATCTTCTACGTCACGGAGAAGTTGCGCCTTGTCCTTATCAATTTTCGCTTTAAGTTTTTGCATTTGCTCTAACTGATCACTTAACTCTGCGACAGCATCATTGTGTTTCTTGCGGAGAGCCGAGATTTGAAGTTCATGGTTTATATTATTCTCCTAGAATTAACCAAATTTAAATGAATCAAAAATTAAAACAACAATCTGACTATAAGATATAAATTTAAAAACCTCAAGATCTCTTTTGAGTTTTGCCATTTCAGCTTCACGTTTTTTATTTAATTCGATTTGTGCTGCAGTAGCACCACCTTGTTCATCAAGACGTTCACTAAGTTCTTCCAACTCGCGTTGTAAATCTCCACGTGAACGGTCAGATTTGCTACGAGATTGCCTTTCTTGTTCTAAGTCTTCTTCCAGTTCAGCAATACTATAAGATCTTGGGATGGAAATCTTTTGCTAAAAAGAAAATGAGGCGAGATAATTGGCGGTCATACTGAATGAAAAAAACACTACTTTATCTATTCGACTCTTTAGGAATTTTTCCAAATTCATGGATTTATGAACAAACCGAGATTCGAGGTCTTTGATCTGTTTCTGAAGCTTGCTCACTAGCGATTGCTCTTCTTCGAGTTTGCTGGTTGCATGCATGAGATCGGCTTCTTTCCTAAAGCCATGAATTTATGTGCATCTACTGCCTTGACTTCATTACTTCGAACGTTCTTATGTTAATATCGTTCATATGAAAATGTGCCATCAACTATCAAGAAAGGCGTTTCAAGAAATATTAATGAGATTATACGATTTTTTGAACAGTTATCCGCAAATAAGAAAAGAACTTCAACTAACTTTTTCAAATTTTGTTCCAGATCATGTTTTTGCTTCATAATTTCGTCAATATTTTCTATGGAGACCTTGAGTTCGCCTTCTACTTTTCTTTTTGCCTTTTCTAAATCTTGGCGCGTACGCTTGTCGCGCTCGAGATTTTCTTCTAACTAAAGAACTATCATGAACGTTCCTTAAAAGATTCTTGCAAAATTAGGTTGGCAGACATCAAGGACATATAGACGATTATAACATGGCTTTAATTCCCTCCAATACTTACCTTTCATGATCTAATTCAACGAATTTATGCAACTTTTTATTGGTGAAATTCTTACATCATCAAGTTGTTGTTCAAGTTTTGCTTTGAGTTTTTGCATATGATTGACTTTGTCTTCCTCAGCTTGCAAATCTTCCATAAGTTTTCGGTTAATCTATAAAATAGAAGTATAAAGAAGATGTATTTCTATCATCAAGTAATTTCCTGGCAAAAATTTCTGATCTACTAATGGTTAATGTAATCAAAAATGGTGAACATTTACTTCAATTTGTTTCTAAGTATTGCAACTAATGAAGTGAAATAAATGTCTCTAATTGGCATCTAATTCCATACTAATGGAACATTCAAATGTCTTTAATTTTTTGGCAAGTCAAATTGATGGTTCTTTACCATTCCTTGAATTGATTACGTTATTTGATTTCATTTTTGCTCTCATCTTTAATTTTTTAATTTAATCTATGGCTTCTCTTTCGATGTATTGCTATGAATTTTTGTTACTTCTTCTTGATTTTTCTTTTCCTTATTGATTCGAGCGTAATTTTCATCCTGATTAGCCATTTCGTCTTGCAGTGTTCGAATGTTTTGCTCACGAGCTTGTTTTTCTGTTTCAGATTTTCGTAAAGCTAATTCTAAATCCTGAAAAATATAAAAAAACTATATGATTGTTCCAAATCTTGAAGGGTTCCAGTCAGATAGGAAGCTACCGAATGCTTCAACTTCGCATTAAGTCAAAATCATTGCCAGCATCTTAATCCTACTAATCCCCGCTATGACACAGCACTTAGATGGTAGAGTGGCATGTTTCTCTCACATGCGCTGTCATGATCCCTGCTTTCTGATAGAAATAAACCTGTCATTAAGAGTGAATCTGAGTGGTTCTTCGACTAAGAGTTCTGGTCCTTTTGGTCATGAAATTAGCTAAGCTATAAAAAAGATGAAAAAAAGATGAATTAAAATGCAATTGCACATGGCAAAACCTGATTCTTTTTCTTGAGCTCATTGATTTCCTGTTCATTTTTCTTCTTTTGTCTTCCGAGATCTGCATTTCGGTCTTCTACTTCTGAGATACGGTCGCTCAGTTCCTGCAGTTGACGCTCAAGGTCAGCTTTTGCAGCATTTAGCTTACTAACTTGTTCCTCAGATTCAGCCAAACGCCCTTTTTCTCTTTCTAATGACTCGAAAAGTTGATTCTTTTCTTCAATAAGTCCCTGAATCTGTAATGAAAATTTGATAAAAATGGATCAAACAAAAATTGTTCGTAAGTAATTTAGCGAAGAAAGTGATGAATTAAAGTAATGAAAGTGATGCATTAAAGCTGAGTTTCCACTTTTTCAAATACGAAAATCCAATTCAAATTTTTGAAAAAAGACAACTTTCTAACTTGTTTTTCAAGTTCCTTTTTATTTCCTTCTTCTTTAACCAATGTTTCTTCTAACTCCTTAATTTTATTGTTGAGCTTTTCCATTTCTTCCATTTCTTTTCCTGCTTTAAGCATAGGCTTAACTCGTCCATACAGTTTGAACCATTCCCAGTTTCGTAAAGTACACCATGAACGAACATTACGTTGAAGAATAAGAAGACCTACAACAGCAAAAAATGGAGTTCTGTAGAATTACAAAATATTTTTACAAAAAATATATATATATATTTTTACAAAAATACATAAATAAAAATATTTTTACAAAAAAAAGATTAAATAATTTCTTTGGCCAATAAAAATAACAATTTAATTGGTTAAATACCGTATTGCGCCTTTAAAAACCCCGTCACTTTTAAACACATTTATTTTTTTAGTTAAAAATTTCGATAGCACTGATTTTTGTGATTTTTGAAATATGCTTTTTTAGCACTTTTATATACTATTATACACTATTTGAGATTATTTTTTGCAAAAAAGTGTTGTATATGAAAAAGATAAAGAAAAGATAAGATAAAAAATTATTAACCTGTTCTTTGTTGAATTCTACGCTTGACATCAGTCTGCGCAAGGTATGATCGTACTCTAGACTGGAAGTTAGTAACAACTACACGAAGTGCTTCATCACGTAAGTCTTCAAGACGAGCCAAGATACCGGCTTTGAAGAAAATTTTTGTACTACCTAACTTGAACTCTTCATCGTTTAGATGACCACTGTTGCAAAGAAAATCACTTATTGCAATAGATGCAGCCCTTTCATCAGGATTTTTAGCTTGTTCTGCAGCCAAAATAGCATAGCGATGTTTGAAATCGGGATAAAGCATTCTGTTCGGAAAACCTTTGCGGCAAATGCGAATACCTTCCAATACACCATTACATGTTAACTGATTGAGCACCAACGCCGAATCGATCACACCTAAAGAGATTAGTGAAAATAGTATTCTATGCAATTTTTTTGTTATAGGCAATAATCTTCAAATAGCTAACCGCTAGCTTTTTTTTCGTTAGGAATAATACAACGAATGAAATGAGGATGTGTTTGATACAACATATTCATTAAGTTATTTAACGATTCACGATAAATCATTGAAACAGTCATAAACGATGAAGATTTCCCCTTCTTTCGACCTCCTTCTAAAAATTTTCATTCATAATATTCGTATAAAATAATTGACAATTGTTATTTATAGCCAAAAATAACCTATTTAATTAGATATATCCAGTGAGTTACAAAACGTGCAACTTGATTATCTCCGAACTGACAATTCATACTATCAACAATTAGCTAATTCGTTTGATTAAGTGAACTTGAAGTGGGTAAAATAGCTGAGCTAATAGTGGCTCAGATTATCGTGCTATGAGGATTTGGTTCTCCTTGCAATAGAAATAAATCTATCCTTAAAAAAATCCAAGTGGCGATTCATCTGTGCTTTTATCAACAAGCTCATTAAGTGACTCCTCTTCTAAAATTGCAAGCAGAGAGCCTAACTAGAAGTAGAGAATGTTAATCACTTATTTAACCTGGAACTGAAATTAAGAATAGCGAAAATCTAATGCTTGAAATAAATTAGAAAATTAGAAATTAGGAAATGACAAAAGAATTGATTGGAATATTATTAAAAGCATTTCTAATATAAATAACTGGGATTTGGCAGATTTTTTTAAACCAATAATTTTTTATTTATTGCATTTTAATATTTCGCGGACCTATTCCAGCTTTAGCAGCCTCAGCTGCTTCTTCCTGAGTTTGGTAATCAGACCATATATCAAGCAAAAGTTGATTTCCCTTGCAGTGCTTCAGTACAGCAACAGCTGAATCATTAAGAGGATCCTTATTCTTTTCCAAAAAGTTTGTTGCATTATATCGGACCTGAAAATTTTGTTGCTTATTTCATAAATTTGCAAAAAAAATAAAATAACACGGTATTTTCAAATATTTTCAAATATTCATTTTTTAATGAATGCTTAAGTCACTTACAGTACCAGCGTAATGAATAATAGCAAAATGTGCTTCAGATTGTTTGCCTTTCGGAGGTCGTGGTTTCTGATAATTTGGATGTTTGCCTAGATGCTGATCATTCAATTTTTGCACATAAGTCATATCAGTGGCTTTTGGTACAATGCATTCTTCGTCTAACATTGAAATAACACCCAAAGGCTAAAATGAAAGGCAAAATAAAACGCGATGTCGGCAAAAACTGAAGCTTAATTCTTGCCAGCTTTTCAATTCTTTTTTTTACGATTCAATAAAAATCTCATATAGTTGCCTAAAATTTAATTTCAAATATTCAAATTGCAACAAATATCCCAAATGGAAAGTGCACAACCACGTAATGATTCATCGTAATGTAAAAAAAAAGATGGAAAATTGTAGGACTAATTATACTTAGCCAAACGTGATAAGTAAGCTGCCGATTAATGATATGATAAACAATTCAAGTCATTAGATGATACCTTTTCAATGAGTTCAATACAAGCTTGCAAATCGAGACCAAAATCGATGAAAGTCCACTGGATCCCTTCTCGCTTGTATTCTTCTTGCTCAAGGACAAACATATGATGATTGAAAAATTGTTGAAGACGTTCATTGACGAAATTTATCCATAACTGTTCGAATGAATTAAACTAAAATATATTCATTCAGTTCAATGATTTGACTGTTTACATGAATTTCTATTGCATATCTAGAATGTGTGTTTGATGCAATAGTTATCACAGAAAGTCGCATAAAGCAAGTAGAAAATAAGCATCAAAAAAGGAAACAAACGGTTTGTGGTGATGAAAATTCATAAATACAAAAATCTTTGAAATGAACAATAAATCAAACTAACATCAAAAATTTCGAAGCCAGCGATATCGAGAACCCCAATGAAATATGCCCGATTTGTTTTTTTCTGATCTAAGGTTATATTACAACGGTTGATAAGCCATCGGAACATTCGAGCATAAATCGCTTTCGCCAGACCGGCAACAGCCCAATGCACCTTTAAATATTCACCATTTTGTAAATTTTGTGCGTATTAATTTATTAGTACAATGATTTAGATAATCTAAAATAGAGTAGCATCATCACTTTCTTTGACTTTGTTCTTCCAATTCTTCCAACAGAAAACTTCATCTTCGACAAAAATACAATCCTGAGTTCAACAAAAAATACACACCTGTTCTAAATTTTGACCCTTATTCACCCACTCTGATCCAACTCGTACACGTGGTTTCGTCAGTGCTTTGAGGAATTCTTCATGATCAACACCGAAGCAGAAGCATGCATTTTTAGCATCTTAAAAATAATGCTGACAATACGTTACAATACTTCGTTGCAGTAATAATACTTTGCTGTTTGTAATTTCAGTGAAAGTTTATTGGCTTTACGGTCATCTATATTGGAAACATCATCTTAATCGATGAAATATAATTTAATATATTTTTCTTTTCTTACAGCATTCAGCATTTCTGTTTGGCTGAATTCATTAATTCCTATGAAATTAAAAGCTGAATTTTCACACCTTCCTCGCCATCTGGTTCTGCTTGTTCTTCGCGTGGCCTTTGTTTGAATTTCATCTCACCCATGTGCATAATACCAGCAACGCTGGAATATAAATCATGAGTTTCCGTATCTTCAAAGCCCATAACATCGAAAGCTTCCTAAAGATCATGTAATGCAATTAATTAACAAATACTGGAATATGATATTATTAAAAAGTATACTGGTACAAATTTCAAATTTTTAATTTCGAAAAATTTCAAGGATATTCAATTTGTCGCACTTTTTTGTGAAAACCCTGACCTGTGTTATACCCATTTCTTCCTTATCATCAACACCATCGATAGTAAGCTCTGCTTGTGAAGAGAAATGGTAGTATTTAAGATCATTCGTCAAGTGAAGTTCCTCTGAAGAAAATTGAGAAATCTTAAGAGAAGGAGAAATCTCTGCTAGATTAAAAAAAGAAACAAAAAATATTTAAAGAAATATGACCGAAAAGACCATTCTTAAAGTAGTTCACCTCGTATTTTAGGATGAAAGCCTGACATAAGCTGATAGAAAATATGATAGCTTCGTTCACCAGGAGCCTGGCGTACCACTCGAGATTTTTCAAGCAAATCTATCATTACATAAATCATAAATATATCATAAATCATAATAAATCATAAATATATCTATTAATGATAGGCATGTAAAAAAAACAATTTTTTCAAATGTGAATTGTCAAAAAGATCATGCGGTGATTTCTTTCAGTTTCATATGGGTTATATGTATTGGGCTTGAAGGCAAATTCTTTCAGCTTCATTTATGAGCCATTTGTATTAAGTTTAGTGGTAAAATATTCGTTCCTTTTATATTTTCCTTTTACTGGCAGCTTCAGCATTCTTTTCGAACACACAATCAACAAGACTTCTCGTTTCACAGTCATTAATCAATGAATAAAATTTGATTCTTGATAATTATTGCAAAACTAATTATTATTTTCATATTTTGATATTTATTTGCAAAAATAACTTACAATGTTCGATATCACCACCAGCAAGTTTGCCATCGCGTGAAAAGTGTGTCCGAATGAATTTACCGAATCGAGAAGAATTATTGTTTCGAACGGTCTTTGCATTGCCTTGAAATATTTATAATTGATTTAAAATTGAAATATAATTTTTAGCAGAAATTTAACGGGAAAATGCTTAATATGATACAATAAGAAATTTCTTCAATTTTTCATTACAAAAATTTCATTTATAACATACCAAAAGCTTCTAATACTGGGTTAGTTTTCACAATTTGCTCTTCGAGAGTACCCTGAAACATAGAAAATTACCAATTTGATGACTTATAGTCTTTTCATGAATACACCATACTTTCAGTTTTCTTCTTTTTTTTTCAAAAAAGTATTTGTAATGTATCAAATTTTAAAAGTAGTCAACTCAGATTGATTTTTACGTTGAGGAAAACAAAAAGTGTTATGCCTTATAATAGCTTATAATATCTTAAAACTATACCCCCTTCTGTCCTTCTTCTTTTTTTGATTGCGTAGCACCTACGATCGCAAAGTATGCGATAACTTTCTTCGTATTTTCTGTTTTACCTGCTCCAGATTCACCGGTGATAAGCATGGATTGATTTTCGCGATCTTAAAAGTACGCAAATTGAAATTTAGATCATATTTAGATAAATTAAGCTCGTTGAAATTCTTGTATATGTTGTTAATATTGCAGTTCTGATGTGAATTTTTTTTTTGATATAATCTTCTCTCAGTTTTTTTTTCTGTATTTAATTAAAATATTTACATTGCAATTAACTAATAGCGTTGGAGTAGTTGCTTAAGAAAATGCAGAAAGGTACCTTGTAAAATGTTGCGATATGCCTCATCAGAGACAGCAAACAAATGTGGCGGCATCTCATTTCTTCTCTTTCCCATATAATGCTTGATTATACTTTCTGTATAAATCGGCAATCGTTTGTACGGATTGATTACTACGCAGAAAAGTCCAGAATACGTCTTAAGCAATTATTATTAGCTGTAAACATTATAATTCTTTTATATTATATTAATATATTAATATTAGGTCAATATGTCGGTAATTCATAACTTACATAAATCATCATGGAGAAATAACGTTCTTTTAGATTATTAAGGACTGATGCTTCATTCAAAAAGGTTAGGTTAGCCATATCTTCTGTCTTCGTGAATTTTGGTGGATTCATTTCCTGAACTTCTTCCTTCTTTAAAGTAATCTCATTGCCTTTTACAGTAACCACTGTTATTTTATCACCAGTAGATGATTTGATTTCAGCAGCAACAAAGCCTTAAATAAAACAATTTTTGAGAAATCGCAAGTTGTGCCTATCTAAGAACTACAAAGAACTTCGCGCTTCGTGACACTGAAGCCAATAGCCAACATGAGTCGAATACTTCCTGCATTCTTAGCCAATGAAGAACGTCGATTTTTAGGTGATTTAGGTAATATTAGGTAATTGTTATGATTTAAAAATAAATTTCATGGACTACATGAGAAATATTTTCTTTCTTTGAATAGATTTTTTACTATTGAACGAAGGATGAAAGGTTAATTTAGCAACAATATTTAATCAAAATCAACCGCGTAAAACATTCAATTGTAGAGAATTCACTTTTAATGTTTCAAAATTTTAAAAACTTTATTGGGATAAAGTGAAGTTTATTGAGAAGTGCATGATATCTGTTTTGCTTTATATATTCAGTATGAGAGGAATAAACCAGTCCAAAAATCTGGGTGATACAGGTGACTCACCTGTGCTTTCATCGCCTCTTGGGACTCCCTTGCCTAGTGCAAAAAGCCAGCAAAGCGAGTCTAACCATAACAGGTATGGTGAACCATTAGAGTAAAGCAATTAAGTACAGTAAACGAAAGAAGTGCAAAAGCCAATTAGTGCCGTTTTCGAAAACATTCTGAGATTTCGGGAAATCTGTTTAAACCACCGCTCACTCAAAAAACGAAATATGTTTGCAGAATTTATGAAAAGAGTTAAGAGATGAAAGTTTTTTTGAAGGACTGCACCATGCTTTAAATTCATCTTGCATGCCACTGCTTACTGGAAAATGGAGGAATGGTAAGTTTCGCATATAAATAGCAAGTCAAATTTCCGTTTTATTCTTTTTTAAGCGACAGATGCTGGCTGCTATAATAACAGATCTTTTAAATAGATCCACAGTCAGTTGTTTTGAGCTTGTTTGCCTATTACAGCGCGATGCGCAGCTGCTGCTATGAGCATTATTGAGTAGCCCAAAGCAGTGCAGTATAAAGGAGCATTTATTGTTTTAACTTCTTATTTGCTTATCGGATAGATTGTTTTATTCTTTAATAATCAAAAACCAAAAAACTGGTTAAAGCAAGAGAAGATACCATCTTCAGCATCTGGAACCCAACAGTTCTTCTTCGAATCGAATGGCTTAGCGGACATTTGTGCTTTTTCCTCGCGACTGACCTCAAGGAAAACATATCCTTCGTCTTCTTCGAATTTGCCCAGCTCTCCCATTTTGCTTGAAATCTAAAATTTCGCAATTATCAACATAATTCATATCTCAAATAAAATATCATTTCGAGAATATCATCAAATGTATAAAAATATAATATTTGCAACAAAAAATACGAAAAATTCCAAATTATATTCTAAATGAAGTTTTGCAAATTTGCACAATTCGATTTAATATCGAATTATAAAGTAGTAGCTCGCCATCTTTGATTAGACTTGCTGACTGTTATTTTTAGAAATTTTTGCCACAGAACCACTAGGTGCAGGCAGCAGCATCATTGGGATTTTTAGTGACAATTTACTCTTGTTGGAGTCATCACATCAATCGAACCCTTCACTTTCAACGAGGTAATCTGCCCATTGGGCTATATTGTTCTTAATTCGATTCAAAATTATTTAAAAAAGAATTCACGGATGTATTGATGAAAGCTTGATTATTAACGAAAAGAGAGAACAAAATATTGGAACAAATGAATCTTTGGTGAGAATGGTTTTCAATTCATTTTTTTTTTCATGCGCTTCTTTTCGCTATAAGTGCTTCAACGGAGAGTACCATCGCCGAGAAGTATTTCTAGAAGTATGATGGTAAATATATTTATTGAAGACTCGTAGCTAATCAATTGCTTTCTTGCCAATGAATTGAAAACCTTCGTCATCAAGTTGAAAAACTGCAAATTTTTGCGCTTGCGCTATTTTTACTTTTATTACTTTAAGACATCTTGCGTTTCTCATTTTCATTTCTCATTTCCGAAATATTTTTCATCTACACTTTAGAATTCGAAATGCATCATGACAAAATACCAGGTGATATTGGATTTATTATCAATGTTCGTTTTAAAAAGTCAAAGTAACTACGAAGCATATTATTATCACCTATTTATCATCAAGGTTGCAGCAACTGTTTGCAGAAAAATTTCTTTTTTACTAATACATTATAAATTACCGATATAGACCACCCTGTCTTCTCTACAGTTTATATCTTAGGAAAGCATTTTTATTCGTTAATGAATCGGTTAAAGAAGATTTGTTAACGAATTGAAATGTTTTCTCATCCAACAAAACAATTTAAAAGTTAGAATTTTTAGAAGAGAGATTTTTCCAATGAATCTAAATTATCTTCAAAAATTTACACACTCTTTATTTTATTATTATATCAATATAATTTAAAAAATCCATTATACCAGGTATTCCAAGCTAATTGTCAATAATTTCATTTTTGAGCACTTTTCACAATTGTTTTAGTTTTCCATGCCTTGAAGTCAATCAAAGAATCTACCAACTCAAAATACAGAACGTTTAAAATTATTTGGAAAAATTTGGAAAAACTTACACATGATATTCCGTAGTATTTATAGGCGTGGGTCACACTTAAGCACTATCTATCATTCTTATAAAACATACATTACTCATTATTCTGTCAGTAAGTACCAAAAACTCATAAATTCCTGCTTTTTTCACTTTAAATCTATCATCATTATCTTTCTTCCAAGCGTTCAAATTAATGGCCACAAATTGATCTATTTCGACAATAAAAAAGCAAGTGAACAGTTGTTATTGTTTATTCGATGTTGGTAAATTTTTGCTACAAATTTAAATTTAACAAATTATAACTAAGGGACTTTTGTAGTTTTGTTTGACTAATCATCATATAATCATCTATAGGATCAAAGTACTGATAAACTCATTGAAAAAGATGATTAAAGAAAGATCTCTTGCAAATTCGAACAGATTGATGTCTGATGGATGTTTGCATTACTTCAATGACTGCACGAATTTGCTGTAATTTTCTCTGATTTATTTATACCAGTCAATCTATTCAGCACTGAAAATTTATATTGATAAAGACTTTTTAAAAAAGTTTGGAATACCCATTGCATTTTCGAGCTAGATGTTAAAATACTGCTTTTGGGCAGATTACTAGGGAATTCCGAAGATCATAACGTCTGGTCTTTTGGTACCACGTTTAAACCAAATTTGTTCACGCACTTTGGCTGTTGATTTGATTTCTAGACAAAAAAACCTTAACCTAAGCCTATCGCTTGTTCGATTGTTGAGTAAATCACAGCTTTTAATAAAGTCATTTTCATCCATTAACCACCAAAACTCTTTAGCTGAAAATTGAAAGCCAAAGAAAATTCTGTGTTATGCTTTCAATTTCAATCTCAAAAGGCCATTATATTACATTAGAACCAAACTATAATTACTGATGCTAAATTGCATTTTATTAAAATACCATCTCGCAGTAAAGATAGCTTCCATCAGACGTTATCTCTTCACAATTTTTCCAGAATAAAACATTGATAAATGTGCAATAAAGTGGATGTAATACGCAAATTGATCGAATTACTGGTGAAATTCTGCATTTTTTTTCGACATTTTTTTATGCATGGAAAATAGCATTTGATACTTTGAAATTGATAAAATTCATTTCCAAAAAGATCGTTTGCTGATGTTTTTTAGCATCGTCTATGCGTCTTCTTCAAATTAATTTGATTCTATTAATTTGATTATTAATTAGACCTATGCAAAGGACGAAAAATTAAAGAGAGTTAATATTAGATCTTAGACAATAAGCTCGATTCTTCTGCGTCACTATAGGCTTTTTAGTGCTTTTTACTACTATAATGCAACTATAATTGCAGAATTGATCTACTTTCTTGAAAAGATGCAAAATATCAGTATTGTTTATAAATAATATTATGAATGGCTGTTAGTGGAAGAAAATTGCAGAAATCCATCATGAAACTTTATGGGACTCTAAAAATTCAAAAAAAAATAGCAAAAATAATGCCAAAATAATTTTTAAATTTTTTCACATTCTTATTTTTAACCAGTAGGAAATCAAGTCTCTGCGCATAATACTAATAAATATAGTCTCTGCATATAATATTTTTGAAAAAATAAAATGAATTGAACGGAATTCTTCGAATCGAAAGAATCAATCGTTTTTGCGAACAACGAATGGTTTTGGGCTTCGACTTACATAATAAATATGCAACATAAATACCCTTTAAAGAACCCCAAAACGGTCCTAAGGTGAAGATCCTTTGACCTCATGACCGATCAAATGACCAAGGGAATGGAATTAATCTATTCCATTTTTGTTCGAAAATCCGCAGAAGGATTGCAAAATCAAAAGATAATTTTTCTGGATAAGCAATTATAAAGAAACATTGGTTTCAAGAAAGTAATGACAATTCTTATAAAAAATGGATACTTCTATTAGAAAAAAAAGCTTGCATGGACTTATATCCATTGATAAAGGTCAGTGAATAAGGAACGGATGAAGAAAAGCTGCTGGAATGCAGTAAACTGTGGTGGTTGTAATATCGACGAACTACGCAGTGATTTAGACTCTTCACTGGTTACAAACTGATTATAAATACCGGCATAAGGCGGAGTTGTGAATTTATAGGAAAGATGTGGGCGGCTTAAGCCTTAAGATATTTTATTGTACATGATACTGATCGAAGAACGCTTATCGTCTAACCGAGGAATTTTACTCCATCGCAATTTTTATTGCACTCAATTTTCTGAATCTTTGTTGTTAAATGGCCTTTTTTTAAAAATCCTCACCATCACTGGTTAAACTCCCTCCACTGGCTTATCGCATTGGGCAATATGTCAGGGAGTCCCATGGCAAGTAAGTAGCTAGCATTGCCCGGATTTTTAGACAGGTTTACTCCTGCGAGAAATCGAACCCCAGCATCGGCGCTCCGAATTTAGCAGCAACCCACTGAGATATTTTGTCCCCAAGTAATAATATTTTAATAATATAATATTAATAATAATAAAAATATAATAATAATATTTAATATTTATGTTAAATGATATTTCTAAATGAATGAATCCTATTGTCCTCTCTTCTAAAGGAGAAGTGAAACAGTCTGAAATTTCCACAAAAATATAGTTATATTTTAAATTAGGGATTAGAGTTAACCGAAGATTTCCTTAAATATACGAGACAGTTGATGGCCTTTCTAGCAAGAGAACTTATAATTTCTTCAAACTAGATGTCAGCCTTCGATTATTTGCTTTTAGAAAAAAGTTCGCGATACCAGCTGACTCGAATATTAATTATTAAATTTCATAAGAGCTCCTAAACGGCTTTTCCTTCACTTTTTAATAATTCAGATATTTGTAACATTAATTGTTATATAATAGCGTTATATATCTGATTGACGTGACTAAATAAAATCTGGTGATCATGTTGGTAATAGCAATATGCCAAGGCATGTCACAGTCGGAAAATGGCAAATGGCACTGAAGCTCGAAGCACCCTTCGCTTAAAATCTTCGCTTGTCTGATCGAAGGTTTAAAATATTGCGACGATATCTCTTCTAAAGGACAAATTACTTGTTCCGTTTTGCCAATGAATATATTTGCTGATTAGTAATAACAAATATATAAACCTATTTAAAAGTATAAAAATTTCATAAATTTCATCAATATTCAATCTTTTCCCCTTTAAATGGAATAATCAAGTATGAAATTAAAATTTTCGTTTGTTTCGTTCTCCTACCTTGAAGAAATCGGCTGAAATGGTTTTCTTTTCGTAAAGAACGTTTACCGCGATTACGAAAGCTTAGATAAGTTATAAGCCAGCTAAATGGCACTTAGAAATTATTATAACATTAGAAAGCATCGATCAAGAAATAGTATTTACTGGTATTCCTTTCGCTACTGCCAAATGTTATGAGTTATTTTCCTCTTTCTCTGAGGTGATCAAATCTATCATTAAAAAAATCTGGAATGATGCTGAGAAGTGACTAAGCTGGAATATATTTCAAGGCAAACTTGAAATTACTGTGGATGCGAAGTCTCGCAAGTCTTATAAAGAAGTTAAATAAGCACTTAAACCACATATCAGCGTGTATTGGTGATCCATCTTAAGTTATCTTCAATTATATGGAATACAATGTATTCACAGTTGAGCAACAATGTTTCCACAAGCATTTCCTTTGATTTCATGGATGCAAAATTTCTAAAACAAAATTCATTTGCAACCAAATCCATTAAAACGAGAAAGAATTTGAAAATGACTTTTTTCCTGAAATCGTTGTACACAAAACTAAAGGGAATCAATATAATCTTTTTAAAAAACCAACATCGTCTCAACAATTTTGCTTTCCAACTGTTTCAAAAGAATAATTTTTTCATCAATCGCTTGAATAATTTTTTTTTGAAAAAAATATCTTAAATCTTCTTTTTCAACAATAAAAAAGTACTTAAATATCAATTTTCTTAATGAATATCACCTTCTACTAATATATCTGCTCAATGACTTCTGGTGAGATCAAATATTGCTGCCTCGTGGTTTACCACAACCACACCTTCCACAAAATTTTAAAAAATTTTCCGTTTTTTTTTAAATTTTGAAAATTTTTGCTTGAAAAAAATTGATGGAATGGTTCTTTTCGCTGATTTTGAAGTAATTCAAAGTATTTCAAGGCATCTTATGAACAATAAATAAATAATAAATAAAAAATAAATTTGTTTGCGTAATTGTTTTATTTCATTTTATGCAGAACTTATTGTAAAATATCAATAATTTATTAAGGAATTAAGCGGTATGAGGAGGTGCAGGAATAATTCATTATTCGATGAAGGTCAATTTGAAATTTCAGCTAGTGCAGTGCAGATTTTATGCAGTATTATTTATCGGCTTGTTATGTCTCAGATATATATATTGATAAAAGATATATACTGACAAAGATATATATATATATATATTGATAAGAATCTTCAACTGATAACTTGGTGATGAGAAGGCATTAACAATTAGAGAGATGTGAATATTTTCGACGCATGGGGTTAAAGCCAAGAGAAATCTTCTCTAAACATTCATGAAACCCAGTCTGTCAAATCTTTTTGTGGAGACTAAATAATTTTTTAAGAATGCCCCAAAAGATTGCCGTGCCAACATATGTCAATGAATCTCGATTTTGAGGCGCACAAATGAACAGTTGTTGCAAATTTATAAACATTAACTTTTGCCAAATTTTTTCATTCTCAATGAATTCCAGTCGAATTACTATTATAAATTTAATTCCATTTACATAAAAATTCGTTTATTCGTCGAATAACTGAAATGCTTCAAAGAATAAATGTTATCGAATTTAATTAGGCGATAAATCCAAGTACCGGAAATTCTAACGGAACTCTCGCGATATTTCATAACAGAATTAGCTAATTAGTTGAGGAATTAGAGAATCTCCCATTTATTGCGCAAATATTAGCTGCTATTGAATTCAATTGAATTGTTTTATGAAGCAAGTGAAGACGTGTTAGCTGCTAAAAAAAATAAATGTTAACTACCATATAATTAATTTTTAAGAAAAAAAATTTACAAAAGAAATTATATTTTCACTAAGCAATGGATAAAAATAATAACTAATAATTTCTTCCAAAATTCGAGTAAAACTCTTAACGATTTTAGAAATTCTGGAAGCATATATTTTAAATAATAACTAATATTATTTTCAATAACTATAACTATTTATAACTAATAATAAAAATTATTTTGAAAGAGGAATCAAATCCAATAAATTTTGCTGAAAACTCTCAACGCTTTTCGAATCAAAAAGTTGAAAATATATCAAGAAGAAATCAGAGCGTCGTCTTCGCTGGTTAGGGTCACTGGTTCTCCGTCGTCGCTCACCACTCGTTATTTGCTTAACCCTGTGATGGGTGGCGTCAAAAGCGATGTGGGCAATCCAGACCTGGACTGATACAATCAGGAAAGATTTTGAACGTTGGAGAAACCAGCGATACCTGAACTTAGACAATGGAAAAACGAATGGCTTCTATTATTGTCGATGATGGATCGCGCAGCTTGGAAACACCTTGTAGCCAAAGAAGCCAAGCCTAACCAATAATGGTGACAGCTGCTAGAAGAAGACACCAAATAGAGATATATTTTGCAAAAAAATTTTGTAAATTGGTTTTCAAGAGCGAATGAGAAGCGTTGGCCAAAGCGTTGGCCATTTCATGTTTTTTAAACGTTTTCTTTCCAGTAATTCGAAAGCTATAGGATTTAAGGATATCGAAAATTAGCTGCCAACAATTTTCTCATAATGCTATTTTAATAAGCCTATCCTATGCTTAGAGAAGATAAAGGCTAACTAGAGATGAAATCCAGAAATCCAATTTAGTCTTTCGATTCCGCTGAATTTATTTGATTGCACGTTTTACACAAATATGCCACCATTTCTCCATTCTCTCACAATCTATTTCTAACTTCTCACTTCGCCTACGTATTTTCTTCATGTGATCAGACTACAGCTCGGTTAAATGAAAATGCTAAATGAAAATCTACGCAATCTTAAGTGATATTTCGAAGTCTCCTTAAGCTTAGCATCAACGTACTTCAATACCGTACTAACCTTAAAAAAGCATAATAAAAAGCAAAAAAGCACAAGATATTTTGCGAGTTGTCGATTTAACCCGTTTTCTCTATGTTCTCGAACAAACTTTGTACGAAACTAATGGATCATTTAATGAAAGAAATAAATGCGTTTTTAGCTTTATCTTTCAGATTTATAATCTTCACAAATGGAAATTGTTTTCTTTATATAACATTTCACAGTCGTATAATTCAACCATAAAATAATTTATAGCTATGAAAATCAAGAAAAGTATACAAACGCGATCACCTGACTAATGGACAAGTATTATTTTATATAAAACATTTAAAATTATAAATTTGAGATTTGAGCTGTAACAGTAATATTATAATTATGAGGAAATTTATGATGAGAAAATTTATTATTTATCGGACATAAATTGCGGTGTGATTTGTGAAAAATGCGATTTCTTTTTACCATTTCAAAAAAATAAATATTTGTGGATGAATACAATAGAATATAATATATAATAAATCAATCGCAACATTGCAAAATAAAAACAAATTGACTAATAAACTGAAAGTAGCCATCAGTCATCATCAATTACAGTCAAATCTTTTTCTATGCTTTTTATCCTCTGCTTTTGTTTACGAACTTCCGCTTTATTGGTCCTAAATTATTATAGAAAAAAATAATAAAGAAAACAAAAAAGAACTGATAAAATTAATAAAAAAATGAAAGATATAATTAAGAAAATTATAATTAATAAATATAATTAAGAAAACAAAAACAAACCTAAACGCAGCGATGGTTTTTTCTCTGAGTTCTTCTAAAGTCTCAGTAGTTTTCGCCCATTCAAGAACAAGCCGCCTGCCATAAAAATGAGTAGAATGTACGAGGGCATTAAATGCGCGACGAGCGTCAGCACACGTCAAATAATCGACAAAACCAAATCCTCGATGGCTTTCTTTTGATGTACTTATCTTAAAAATATCAACAATGAAGATAACAATAAAATAACAATAAAAATAGCAAGAAAGTATGACTTAATGGTGTATAACTTAATTATCAACAGCATAGAAAACCACAAACAATTTGAAATCAAAATTAGTCAGTTAGTAACTAAGCTTTGATATGCATGCTCATATGCTTTATGAAAACAAGAATAGCCACAAATGAAAAACCTTTTTTGGCATTCTGAATGCTCGAAGCTCACCAAATGAACCAAACAGTTGCATCATTTCCTTTCTGGAAGCTTGAAATGGTATATTTCTTACCAAAATCTAAATTGTTTTATAAATATCTATGAAATAAATGATTTCAAGATGAAATCACATATGATCCAATTGCCACATATAAATTAAAGAGCAAATTTAAAAAATTTCAAAACTTTAACATACCTTAGTACATTCTCCTTGCTCCAAGAGGGAGACAGACTTCCGAGAACGAGCCTTTTCTACAATATTCTCTCTGTGTGACAGCTTTAGTTCCAAGCAATGTCCATCCAATAAAGTACTCTGAAAATTACGATTCCACCTCGTAAATTTCATTGAATTCCAAAAGATTTAAGATTTAAAAAATTTTTTCGCGCATGCAATTCCAACCATTTTTTTACAGCTGATAAGTGGTTAATGTTCCTTATTTCTAGTTAAATTCACTCTAATGGCAGTTGTAAATAAGCTTGAAAATCATTTCGAAATCATTTGGCGAAAGAGAAAGGGACCGCATTTTCACCAGCATTTTTTAATTTTTATTTTTGCCAGGAGCAGGAGCTGAGCCTCTATATCCCAAGATAATATGAACCACTGTCCACTTGATAATCTTGTCTTTTTATGCAAAAGATAGTTAAAACTGGGGAAACATCGGAGAAATTTTTATTAAATTTACATGCCATGAAATTATAAAATATGATGAATTTTTTTAATAATTTTATTTTCACAAGTAAAATCTTCAACCAAGTACCTGCATATCTTTAACAGCAGCTTTAGCATCTTCGGCCCGATAAAACTGCACAAATCCAAACCCCATTGACAACGGCTTTGACATTTTATTTAAATCTAAACTTTTTGTAAAAAAAAAACAAAAAACGAAAAAAAGCATTAAAAAAACGTTAGCTAATTGGATATATTTTATTATTTTTGATATATCAAAATATATTTGATATATTTTGATATATATATCAAACTAAACAACCATGATTCAACCATAAAAACATTGTTCATGAAATACAATTTCTCTTCGCAAAAAATTAAACGATGTATGAATTTAAGCCTTAACTTCCTCCAGCGAAAAAAAACCAGATTACCTCTCTTTTTCGAAATAGTCACGGATCGCACCTTAAATCGAGAAGCAAATTTCTGTCGAAGAGATTCTTCCGTAGTGTCGAAATTGAGATTTTTTACAAAAACTGTCGTATTTGCGTTTAACTCTAATTGATCTTGCTCATCATCTGTCTCCATTTCGTTATCAGCCTTACTTCCATTTTCTTCTACCTCTTCGTCTTTAACTTTCAAATCTGAAAATCTGTGTTTTCGTCACCTGAATGTAGCAAAAACACTTAAAACAACCTCATAAAACAAAGGAATTCTTTTAAACAAACCATGAACAAAGTCCTTATATTCTTCCACCTGTGCTGCTTCAGCTTGCCGATACTTCTTGCTTTTCCTTAAGATTTTCTTCTCGTCTTTGCTCAAATCCCGTTTTTTGGAAATATTAGAAATATTTTCAGTAGAGACTGCATCTGAAGTGACAGTATCTTCGCATGATTCTTTCAAATCTGTAAGAATTAGATGTTTTTAGTTGCAAATATATTATAAATAAGCATATATCAAAACTTCCATTAAAAAAAAAGAAAAAGGTAAGAAGTTGCCAGAATTAAAGTATGCTTTCTTAAGATCAAATTTTCTTTAGTTATTTGGGATTAAAATATCTGCAATGATAATCTATCAGTAATAATGTTCACAGAGTCTAAAAAATTTTTGCATTTTATCGAGACTTAATTTCATACAAAATTGTTAATTATATTTTCAAAAAATAGCCAAACCCTTCGTATTGCCTGATAAATTACTTGAGATATAAAATTTAAAAAAGTAAGATTTCAATAAGATTTCAACAACGGTTAGTTCAACCTCGACTGAAAACATCGAAAGGTGCCCATTCTAAATAAAGCGGTTGGCTTCGTAGTCGTCGATAAGCTAAACCACTGAATGCTTTTCGCGCATCAACTGCATTCTGCATCTCAATAATGGCACATATGCCTTCTGAAATTTTTGATTGCCGTATGCAATTAGATAATTTAAATCCTATAATTGTTTTTCATAACGAATGTCACAAGCAAGAGTAAACAATATAATGGATTGAATCAAATTATTAGAAGAAAACAAAAAATTATTTCTTTAATACTTTGTAAAATTTAAAGAACGTGATTTACAAGATCGCAAAAAGAAGTGTCATTTTATCATTCCTTTTGTCGAAGAAAACGACTATAAATTCTCGATAAAAATACTAACCTGGTGGCATTAATGCATTTTTTACAGGTCCATAACGTTCAAACATCCTTTTTATTTCACTAATATCAATACCAAATGATAAATTTTTCACAAGAATGGTGATATCACTACGTTTAGCACATGGACGTGAAAAGGCATCTAAGCAAACACCATTTGATAGCAAGAATTCACGAGTATCGCGAACAAGCCGAGTCTCAGCCAACGCCAAACGTACTCCTGCGCTAAATTTTTAGAATATTAAATATTAACATTTAAATCAATTCATTGGTCAACAGAATAATTATGAAAAAATTTAAATTTGCCCTTATAATTGTGTCAACATAAGTATAAGAGTCATTTATACCAACTGCTCATAAAAACGATCTATACTAACCTTGTTTCACCAACATCATTCAAAATATCGCTTTTATCGACATTTAATTTTGCTGCAAAAGTATCAGCGACTGCATTCGCACCAAGAAACAAAGTGTTCCATGAATGTGATTTGCCAGCATTTGCCTAAATAAAACATTTAAAAATAATATAGAGAACATTTAAAAACATATATGTACATACATACTTATAATCTAACCACAGTGTATTATTTAAATATACCCGTAAAGGAAAAGTTCAACCCTCCTCTAACCTCTTTGGAATCCTCGGACTCTTTTGCACTTTTAATGCCCCATTTGAGCCTAGCTACTTTCTCGTTCTCTACCCGTTATGTCCATTTAATATTTTAACATACGATCATTTTGCAAGTAAATAGCAAAACGATCTCATGTTCAGATCCTTACGTCTTCCACCAAATAATTCCCTTACTCCAATTACTATACACGTGTTCTTTTTCCTAGTTGTTCCAAGTGGTTCTGAAAAGCTTTTGCGCTAGTGGTCTCATAATGGATGTTTCGTAATTTATTGTCCCATAACCTTCATTTCTAGCAGTTTTATCTTTTTGAAAGAGGATTTTGAATCTATTTCGCCACTGAAGTTAGTGCTGACTGGATTTTTTTCTTCACCAGGTAGTATGTGCAACATTCTGCCCTAAAATATATGCATTAATCCATTTAATAAAGATATTTCTAAAAACTGAAGGAAGAAAGAAATTATTTTTCAATTAAAATGGGCAGCAGAAATATAGACACTTTAAAAATAGTTCCATCCAATGATGAAAATGCTGCAAGCGCGTTTTCAGGAAATACGAATGTAACAATGGCAAATCCTTTACAAAGCCCGGTTTTCTTATTAATAATCATCTGCAAATCAGCAACTTCACCGAAATTTTTAAAAAGATATTGCAGTTCATCTTCGCGGCAAACAAAAGGTAAATTCCGAACGAAAAGTCTGCAAAAAATAAACTGCTATGAATTAGGCAAAGAACTATAACAATTTTCAAAAGCAAAATACTTTGCAGAGAAAATCTGATACCTTCCTGTTTCTAATATTGCTTCTGTAATACTAGCATTCTCAGTTTTTCGATCTTCATATACATAATTATCCTCATTAGAACAAGTTTTCATACCACTTTTCATCGAAACGGTAGTAATTTGAACCTGAAAATCCAGATTTTAATGGTCATGAAAATAAAGCATGAACAATTAATGCGTACAAAGTGTTTTTTTTTCATTTTTAAGTTATCTAAATGGATCAATTTTTGCAAATTTGAATCTCATAAATTTTAGACCCAGCCCAATGATTCTATAAATTTCTGTATCATGAATGTAAATCATATATGGCAAGCAATAAAATAGTCAGCAATAATATCAACATGAAAAAACCTTATTTCCACCGATAAACTGCCCATTTCTCTTGAGAACTTTAGCCACATCCTGTGCTTGATAAAAACTAATAAATGCCGCTGACTCAAACGAATTTCGAACTAACTTCATTCCCTTCAATTTTACCGGAATCAGCCAATCTTTGACATTCTTTGCTTTTACCGTTGGTGGAATTCCACGTAAGATCAATGACAATTTTGTATCACCTGTTCAACATACAAATAAACAAATAAAAAAAATTCTGTCTTACTCGACGATAAAGAACCATACACTTTTAGTAACGGAAAATGAGGATTTACAGATTAGAGAAAAAACTAAATGAACCTGAAATGCCATCGAAGAGTTCAGATTCCAAGTCATCCAGGTCAGTGAATTCATCCGGATATTCTTCGCTTAGTGCCTTAAAATAATAGGATTCAAGACAAAGAATTTTTTCAATAAATGAATTTTTTAAGAAAATTCACCTTATCACTCGCTTCATTTTTATTATTTAACTGCAAGAATTCACTGAATCGAGAGTCTTCCTGTGTTTTTTGTTTTTTCGCTGGCTGTATATCGTACATATCGTTTAAATGTTTGGAATTTTCTGGATGTAAACGTTTGTATGAGCTAAAGTTTTCATTAACAACCTCATAAAATAATATGATAAAGTTGCATAAAAATTCTAATAAAAATTTTAATAAATAATGTATTGTGTAAAACAAATTCATGAACTGAAAAACGTTCGGAAAATAGGTCTGAATAATAAAGAAGAGTTTACAAGCCAAAATCAAATAAAATGAAAATCGCTGGTAATTTCTATCAATTTGCTAGTTTATTTGCAAATAATATGATGATAATAGTCCAGCAAAATGAAACTTTATCACCAATAAAAAAATTAGAACCAAAAGGAATACTTAAGAAGTATTTTTAATTTAAGAAAAATTAATTAAAGGAAGATTCGCTGTTCTAATAAATAAAACAAAAATTTACATTAATCCATGCATGGATGTCAAAAAGAATTGAATCCACGGTGCAAATCGCTAAATAATTATATTGCGAAACTGATAACAACTAACCTGCTGTCTTTAGCATAACGACTCCATGCTCGCGGCTTTGTTTCATCACCAAATGGTTTACATTCCTCTACCTTAAAAATGCATATATCGTAATCCTCGAAGCTAAATACGAAAAAGAGCTGATTCAAAATAATAATGAACAGCGAAAAATAAATAAATAGTATTACAATAAATAACAAAAGCAATGTTAAATAACAAATAATAATAAAATGTGAAAAAAAATGACATAGGGACACAAAATAAAAAATACTTTTAGCTTGGACGAATTCATAAAAGTATTATTAAAATGATTTTTAGCGCTCCTCGCATTTTCTTCTTTTTCAAAACCGATAAAAGCGAATCGTCGAAATTTCCCTTCTTTCGTGTATTTCAATGTGCAATCGGTTAAAACACCAAATTTCGTGAATTCGGCTCTTAACTTCGATTCCGTGCAATTCGAAGGCAAACCTTTCACTATTAAACGCGATGATGACATTTCATTTTAAAAAAAATCTAAAAATAGTAAATGAAATATAAAATCAAAAAAGAGGAAAGAGGAAAGAAACGAATTTCACTAATGATTTTTTAGATATTACATTTTAAATTCTGACAGATTTTTTACCTAAAACCTCCTCAAACTGGAAGAAAATAAGCACACTTTCCGTCGCAAAAGCAAACTCAAATTATGACCACAAACCAATTCAAACCATATAGAAGCTGATTTTTAGACATATATATGCATTTACTAATTTGCGGATGCAACCAAGAAAAACTTGAATTTATTGGGAAACATTTGTGAATGTTGCAAAAAAATTTTTTATTTATGTAGATAGGTAGCAGTTGGTGGGATTGTTTTGAGGTTCTTCTTGCTTCAGTTAGGCATCGTAATCAACAGGACAGGGTTCCAGCCACTGCTTTACAGCTTAAAGTAATTGTTAAGTTGGACATTAATGGGAGGAAAATTGGCAGCGTTAAAATGAAGTCTGCTTGCAGTTCTGGACAAAAGTTAAAGTACGGACAGTTGTCCTGTGGAAAGTTTTGCTAATGGAACCATTCATTTATTACATAATTAGGCAATAAAACAGCGTTGACCTGGCGAATTCAGCAATTTAATTTATGCTTTTCAGTCAAAAAATTAAAAAAATGAATAAGATTGTTCATCGAAGCGAATAAGTAATATTACGCGCAGATGGAACACGTCTTTTTCAGTGGTCAGTAGGCTTGCAATAGCACTCACAGAGAGAGTATTTTTCAGTGTTTAGATTTTCTAACCCTAAATTTTGGTTGAAAGTAAGACTGTAAGGTGACCGCAAGGAATTCTTCTTGCATGTCACATGGAAAAATTCCCAGTCTTTTTCTAAATTGGAGATTCTATCGCCTATTTAATGAGTCTTTAATAGAAATATTTGAAAGCGGATAGCCACTGTGGATTGTTTATGCAATCCAAGAAACGAAGGATATTTCAAATTTCAGAATTTACGAAATCTGTGCTTATTTCTTCGTCGAAAAACTCAGACTCTCATCGAGTGAAATAATATAGTCAATCATTTTAGTTAACTATAAAAATTTTACAAGATCCAACCTAATTTAAGGTACTATTCAGCGCATCTGAATGATTTTCTAGGAGCAATTTTTACCGCCACAGGAGAATTAAAAATTTAATTTACAATTATAAAATGCTATTCTATTAAATAAATTGAACGCTTTGAACTTGTATTATACGAAACTATGATCGCGTTAAATGTGAATAATTATAGGGGAAATGGATCGAAGATATGGAAGCCAATTGTAACTGTAATAATATAATATAATGCGTCAATTCCATAATTTTGATCATTAATAATATTAATTAAAAGCTGAGCTTTGTGTCGTCCTCCGAACTAATAAAAACACGAAGAATACCGATAAATCCTAAAAATTTGACAAATTTCCAGATAAGATAGTCAAATTTACAAAGATGGCAACGTATTTCAGCGTAAGTGACAACCACCATAACCATTTGAGTGCATGTTGATGATAGCACAGAAAGTTGCGCTACAAATTGATGCAAACTGTAGAACTGTAAAATTTTCTCTTCCTTTTATACGGACGCTTGTAAAATTCCAATTTTTAATAAATCCATCACCGGTTGAAAGTTTCACACTTTAAATATGTTGGGCCACTCATAGCCGAGCAAAAGATGAATTTAATTCAAATAGCTATAACTAGAAATGATTCCTCCAGCCAGGTGGAACCTTTATGGAGCTGTCGCGAAATCATCCTCAAAACGAAAATTCATACTTATCTGCTGTAGCGATTTCTTATCTCCTTTGATCATGTCTAAGGTATATTCTACGTAATTGACGTCAAAGAAAGAGGGGCAGGATCTGAACTCTTACCTCCAAACATAAAAGTCTGAATCATCACACACCTTATCGTGCATCTATCTATGAGGCTGAGGCACTTGACCTAGAAGTTTCACAATATTTTATACTGTGCAAAATATAGAAACACGCTACAGACAGATTCACGAACATATGATGGGTGATTTAAATTCTCAATCCTTCTCAATCCTTGTGAGTGGTACAGGTCACCCTCGACCTCACGCCCTTTAACAGAGGTCTGGTAGGTCGAGATAAGGCAGATAAGTTTTCAAAGGACGCTCAGCGAAAAGGTAGAGATGATTGGCTGCGATATTTTAGTAGAAGAATACCACTCGATTTCTCTTACATTTATTTTCGATGCATAAATAGTACTGGACTCTTCTCAAATTTATGTCAAAATATTAATTAGTCGCGATAATTCCTAGAAATTGTCGCAGCACAGTCATTCGTGTGAAATTGTCCTATTGTACTTGCCAAATCTCAAATTTTATGAACAATAATTCAGTCTGTTTGAATAAAAATCACTTTAAACCACTTTCTAGGAGTCCACTCGTACATCTGTTCTCAGCTGATTCACTCGAATTTCATCCTAATGACAACGAAACTAGCCAAACCGACAAAGGTGAATACTATATTGGCTTTTTATAAACACACATTGGAATTTTTACCATAATTTACCGTTACCGAATTCATGGAAAATAATTATTTAGTATAAAATATCGGCCCTCCAAATTCAACAACAACACACTGATATTAACTTTTTGCTGCAAATTAAGCTGAAAGCTTAAAACTGCTGAAAAAAATTTATTTATTGAATAATTTGTTGCCCTGTTTTTCTTCATCGTACAATAAAGAATGTGCGAACATTCGTTTATAAAAACCATCTTCACGAACCACCAATCACTCAGCTAATTGCAAAAATGGATAAAATCCTTAAATTCAAAACCAAACAATTTAAACATGGAAACATGAAAATTTTTTGAAGAATTTGTGTGCAAATTAATTCTCAGTTAATCTTTCTTTTGAACCTTTTTTTTCAAAATTTTCTATTCAACAGTCAAAAATCTATGTTTTGAGGAATAAAATTCAGGAAATTTAAAGCGAAACGATGGATCGTCGGTAACTGTTATTCGTTAGCATCAGTTGGTTGTGAAGAAAACGAAGAAGAATGGAGTAGTTTTGCTGAATGTGATCGTAGCGAATATGCAGCGTCTGTTTGGTTTTCACGAGGTCTTTTCTTAATACACTTCAGTATTCTCCACTCTATCGTTGTCGGCTCGATTCGTTGCATCCATCGAGTCCCTGTAATCTGCTGCTGATGTCCGTCTTGCTGAATGCTGCATTCCTACCTCTCCAATACTTTATTTATTCTCTTCCTACGGCAACCAATTCACTGTATTTACCCATTTTTACTAAATATTTCTTTCATTTTAATCACGATTTTTATCGTTTTTTTAAAATTTTATTCTTAATTTTGTTGAATTTCTATTATTTTTACAGTTTTATTTTTTTAATAGTTATTAAATGGACAAAAAAGGGAATCGGAAAGAAGCAAAATTTTGGTTGATTAGTCTCATACATACACATACACACATTATATCTTAAAATATTTTCGTCGCACAAGTCTTATTCCTCATCAGTTTTTCTCTAACTTTCATTTTCTCCACTACTCTTTTTACTTCGAGAAGATTCAATTTTCTGAGAATGATCCAACGCAAGAGTAACTAAGTATTCTCTGCTTTACTTTGTTTATTTGAAAAATGACAATTGAAGATGAAGAATTTGAGACGTTAAGAGAGGTTATCTATCTAACGAAATGATTACTTAGTGAATCAGAAAACTCTTATGATAACATATCAGAATCATCGAGTTATCACGTTACTACAATAGGCTGAATCAAGCAACGAACGCAGCATAGCGAACTTATGAAATTCTTCGTATTGTTCGTACATATCTGAGTGAATTAAGTCGAATCACTGAAAAATAAAATTCACTGAAAACAAAAGCCTTTTCTTTTAGTAGAAAATTCTTCTCACGGAATCATAACATTCCTTGATTTTATGAAATTTTTGAATTGCACTAGAAATGGGATTGGTGCAGCTTCGTTGTCTTTTCTTTTGAAAACATTTTTTATAGGAGAGTTATTCAGGTAATTTATTCGTGAAATCTCTGCATGTGCTAGTAGCATAGATTGTCGTGTTGAAACGCGAAGATTTGGCTTTACATATTCTTCCACCCGACGAATTAAAACTTTTCATTAAAAGCCGAATGGTACTGGCGATCCATCTTTGCTTCTATCGCCCAGTGATTACTCTTCAGCAAAATTTCAGACCCTACAGAGTTGCTTTATTTTATATCTTCAGCCATTAATGTACTAATTATTTTTGATAAGAAGGAATACGATTGGAAAATTAGATTTTATGGAAATTTTATACGTATATATTTTTTCGAACAACGAAACTGAAAAAATAATCGATGGAATAAAGATGATGACAAAGGAGAAGAAGGCGAAGGCGAAGAAGTAATTCGGAGAATTTTTCTTCTCTTTTGATGGGCAACACAGCATCTGTTGTCGAAGAATTTCTCAGTATCAGACACCATTATTCACTTCATTTTTTTTCCATCGTTATTTCATATTTCGTTAAGAATTTGTCTCGTTATCGTTATCCGCAAGAATCGCGAATACCAAATATCCAACCTCGAATCCTCAATCCGAGAAATTCTTTTCAAATAAAAAAAGGAAAAATTCAATTAACCAACCGATCGACCGACTCACAATCGTTATGAATGAACCCATTCTATTGATGATAACTGACAAATAATTACTGAAATGTCGTTCATTTGTTGTTACGCCAATGGAACTTCAAATAATTCGATAAATTTAACTAAAATTTTATAATAAAATTATAGAACCAATTTAAAAAATCTTTATTTAATTTAGAAATTACACGTAAAAGTTAAAATTGAGGATAAAAATAAGTGAACTGAGTGAATAAAGCTCCTTATTTTTGGTTAGACTCGCTTCACCACCTGTTGATATGGTAGAATTTATTGCTGGTGAGTCGCTGGCGGTAGAAATGTAGATAAGTGGCCAGCACCGCCTGAAATTTTTTAGAGAATAGGAGGACCACTG